CGGCCGATCGACAACGCATGGCAGAGGAACAGCCACTCCAGGTCGCGCGGTGCACGAAGATTATCCAGGATGAGAAAGACTCGGACAAGAGCAAATATGTGATCAACGTCAAGCAGATTGCCAAGTTTGTTGTCAACCTAGGAGAGCGCGTGAGCCCAACAGATATCGAAGAAGGCATGAGAGTTGGGTAGGTTTTCTGGCGGAATGCATTTCCCTCACAGCTACTGACTAGGCTCTGCAGTGTCGACCGCAATAAGTACCAGATTATGCTGCCCTTGCCGCCAAAGATCGACCCCAGCGTGACGATGATGACTGTCGAGGATAAGCCCGACGTGACTTACGGCGATGTTGGTGGATGCAAAGAACAGATCGAGAAGCTACGAGAAGTCGTCGAGATGCCGTTGCTATCGCCAGAACGTTTCGTGAACCTCGGTATCGACCCGCCCAAGGGTGCCCTGCTTTACGGTCCTCCCGGAACCGGAAAGACCCTCTGTGCTCGTGCAGTTGCCAACCGAACGGATGCCACCTTTATTCGTGTCATTGGTAGTGAATTGGTGCAAAAGTATGTTGGTGAGGGTGCCCGCATGGTCCGTGAGCTCTTCGAGATGGCTCGTACCAAGAAGGCTTGCATCATCTTCTTCGACGAAATCGATGCCGTTGGTGGTGCTCGCTTCGACGACGGTGCTGGTGGTGACAACGAAGTGCAGCGTACCATGCTGGAGCTGATCACCCAGTTGGATGGTTTCGATTCCCGCGGTAACATCAAGGTCATGTTCGCTACCAACCGTCCGTCCACACTTGACCCGGCCCTGATGCGTCCTGGTCGTATCGATCGTAAGATCGAATTCTCGCTCCCTGATGTCGAGGGTCGTGCAAACATTCTCCGTATTCACGCCAAGAGCATGTCCGTCGAGCGTGACATCCGTTGGGAGCTGATTTCACGACTGTGCCCCAACGCTACCGGTGCTGAGCTCCGCAGTGTTGCGACCGAGGCCGGTATGTTCGCCATTCGTGCCCGTCGCAAGGTTGCCACCGAGAAGGACTTCCTGGCTTCCGTTGAGAAGGTTATCAAGGGCAACCTCAAGTTCAACTCGACGGCGACCTACATGCAATACAACTAGAAAGATCCCGACTGGACTTGCATTACGGATGGGATGTATGATCACTATTGTCTTGTTATGTCGGAGTTATTCCAGGTCAATGCATCTATAATCTAAACTATTTGTATGTTTCGAGTGTAACTGGCATCTAGTTCCCTAATCGGGCCACGATCAGTTCGACTGATCATGTGATAGCACGTGATCCACGACCTATAAACATCCCTAGACTTCAAAGAGAATTAGGGAATATTAGCTAGCTGAAGTGGACATAAAGTCAGGTAAAGTAAACAAAATCTGCTGGTAGGCCCCGGGCTTTAAACAATCACCCTTGTAGACCTGACTGAGGCTCTACCGTATCCTCCCGGCGCACACTACCTTGCGGCAAAACGGACGACCGGCGAACCCGAGGCATTCTCGCAGTTGCCGATGGTGTGGCCGAACCAGCCAATCACAGGCCCCGGAATACTAAGTAGTTTGCTGAGTCAGCCTGAAACTGCCAACCGCATCCCGACTCCAGATGAAGTTGCTCTGGAAGGAGTTCGCTATTCCACCATCTCCTCTCTTTAGCTCTTTTTGGACAATCCGTGTCCCTATTTTCTCTTGGTTCATTAGGGAATTACAATTCTCTGTGGATCCATCATGAGCTCCCTGAGCCTGCGGAGCCTAGCTCCTGCATCCAAGGTGAGCCCGTGGCACGCAACGATTTTCGGCTCATGTGCAACCGACTGACTGGCTCATTTCTCCAGGTTTCCCGCATTTTGCGGGATCAGAGACGTCTGTTCTCTTCTTCAAGGCCCGCAGGTACGCATTGAGCCACTCAAACCGTCAATCCACGTTCGCACCACTAACTACTCTGGCGCCAGCCCGGATTTGGTCCAACCAGCCTCTGCGCGCTAAGGAGTCCAGCGGATACCTGACGGACAAGTACCCCATCATTGTAAGATGACATCCCCCCTGGATGAAAAGGAAGACCATCGGATCTTAACTTGTGCAGGACCACGAGTACGATGCCGTCGTTGTCGGTGCCGGTGGTGCCGGTCTGCGCGCCGCCTTCGGTCTGGCTGAGGCCGGATTCAACACTGCCTGTGTTTCCAAGCTGTTCCCTACGAGAAGTCACACTGTTGCTGCCCAGGGTGGTATCAATGCTGCCCTTGGAAAGTAGGTTTCCCTCGAAAATTTCGCCAGATATCGAGTCGCGTCTAATTGGGATTTAGCATGCACGAGGATGACTGGAGATGGCACATGTACGATACCGTGAAGGGTTCCGATTGGCTTGGTGACCAGGACGCTATTCACTACATGACCCGTGAGGCCCCGGCCAGTGTTCGCGAGCTTGAGGGTTACGGTTGCCCCTTCTCCCGTACCGAGGATGGACGTATTTACCAGCGTGCCTTCGGTGGTCAGTCTAAGGAATTCGGTAAAGGTGGCCAGGCCTACCGTTGCGCCGCTGCCGCTGACCGTACCGGTCACGCTCTTCTGCACACCCTTTACGGACAGTCTCTCCGCCACAACACCAACTACTTCATCGAATACTTCGCTCTCGACTTGCTGATGGAGGACGGTGAGTGCCGTGGTATCATTGCCTACAACCAGGAGGATGGTACCCTGCACCGCTTTAAGGCCCACCACACCGTTCTGGCCACCGGTGGTTACGGACGTGCCTACTTCAGTTGTACCTCGGCTCACACTTGCACTGGTGATGGTATGGCCATGGTCGCCCGTGCTGGTCTTCCTAACCAGGACCTGGAGTTCGTCCAGTTCCACCCTACTGGTATCTACGGTGCCGGTTGTCTGATCACCGAGGGCTCCCGTGGTGAAGGTGGTTACCTCCTGAACTCCGAGGGTGAGCGTTTCATGGAACGTTATGCTCCTACCGCCAAGGATCTGGCTTCCCGTGACGTTGTCTCCCGTTCCATGACCCTCGAGATCCGTGAGGGCCGTGGTGTCGGTCCCGAGAAGGACCACATCTACCTGCAGCTCAGCCACTTGCCCGCTGAGCTCCTCCACGAGCGTCTGCCCGGTATTTCCGAGACTGCCTCTATTTTCGCCGGTGTTGATGTCACCAAGCAGCCCATTCCCGTCCTCCCCACCGTCCACTACAACATGGGTGGTATCCCCACCAAGTACACTGGTGAGGTTATCGACGTGGATGAGAAGGGCCAGGAGAAGGTTGTTCCCGGTCTGTACGCCTGTGGTGAGGCCGCCTGTGTGTCTGTCCACGGTGCTAACCGCCTGGGTGCCAACTCCCTGCTTGATCTGATTGTCTTCGGTCGTGCTGTCTCTCACCGTGTCCGTGACATTGCCACCCCCGGCAAGCCCCACAAGGAGCTCGCCTCCGATGCTGGTGCTCAGTCCATCAAGGACCTCGACTTTGCCCGCACCGCCGACGGCCCCAAGTCCACTTTCGATGTCCGCAACGCCATGCAGAAGGCCATGCAGACTGATGTTAGCGTTTTCCGTACCCAAGAGAGCTTGGATGAGGGTGTCCAGAAGGTCAACGAGATCGACCAGTGGTACTCCCAGGTCGGCACCAAGGACCGCTCCATGATCTGGAACACTGACCTGGTTGAGACCCTTGAGCTCCGTAACCTGCTGACTTGCGCGTACGTATCACCGACCTAGATTTAAGAAGCATTTGCTAACATCATTCATAGTACCCAAACCGCTACTTCCGCCGCTGCCCGTAAGGAGTCTCGCGGTGCCCACGCCCGTGAGGACTACCCCGACCGTGACGATGAGAACTGGATGAAGCACACTCTCTCCTGGCAGAAGGAGGCCCACGGTGAGGTCAAGCTCGGCTACCGTGCCGTCGAGGCCAACACCCTGGATGAGAACGAGTGCAAGGCCGTGCCGCCTTTCAAGCGTACCTACTAAGCTCGCTATTTGGGGAATTGACCCGCAGAGAATTTGGAGGATACCACGGAGTTGTCGCAAATGGACCCTATCGACGCCCTTTCCCAGCCTCATGGATGAGGTGAAAGTAGGGCTTGTGGCGTCGAGGGCCCCTATTCAAGGGGATGAACCCATGCAAAAGACCATGTTTTTTATTTGACTGTGTTACTTACCATCTTGTATAGCCATATTATTTTCCTTTATTTCAACAGGCGAAGAGTTGTACTGGATGCTTTTTTTTCTCAGTTGTTTCATTTCAACATTGGATTCTTAATCTTACCCTCATCCCGTAGTTCTCCACGCCATCCTTTGTCGGGTCTTGGCTCGAGTCAACAAAGAAACCGTTGAACCTTGACTGATTTTGGATCTGAATCTTGTTGCAGCAAATACTGACAGACGCTGTTGATTTGCCCTAATGCACGTTTCGGGGATATGGTCGATAACCGCGCCTTCGTTTCCACTCCGCCAAAGTGCAAGGCAACCTTGCACAACCTAAAAAGCTATGGAATTTTTACTCATTCTACTTTCGGTTCTATATTTGGAGGATGTCATTGCCACCAGGGGCCGTTAACAACCATACTGAACAAAGAGTCTCATCTCCGAATTTCTTTGAGGAAGAGGGTCACGGCCTCGCATGTCCTCCACCTATTGGATCATGAATGCCAGCAGCAACAATATCTGTCATGTTTATTCCATTTGAATTCGGTTCCCCTTTTCTACTGGGAGATAACTGTCAAATCTGGAGTTCCCTCGAGTGGACGACTTCGCTCGCTTCCAATCGTTGAAAGTTGCCCTAACTGGCATACACATCGAGTGCATCGCTTTGATCCGGGGATTCCTTGACATCTTGAATGCCAAATAATCTCCAAGAATATCGTTTGACATGAAGAATCTGCTTCCTCGAGCAGCTAATACCTGCACGGGGAGCAAGCAGTGGTATGTCTGCACTGCAGGGAACTTTCGTGGATGCTGCTCCAGTGACCCGTGTACGAGCGGCATCTGTCCGGATTATGATAAAGATGATACCTCGAGCACTTCAGTTCCTGGGGCTACATCCGCAGCGGGGTTGACAGCAATCACGGCGAGAATAGGGATTCCGCTTGTCTCATCAGTCACGACATCCTCATCAAGTAACTTGTCGGCAGATTCGTCTACTTCATCATCGTCAACATCGTCAACAATAGATCCTGCGATGACTTCGTCTACAAGTTCAGACACGACCACAACTACAGCGACGTCCACAATCTCGACAACTTCAAACGCCACGCGTGTCACTGGGTTGTCCTCTGTCCTAGGTGTGAGCCATGTAAGCACCGCCGCACCATCATCAGCATCCATCACTTCAGGAACCGCATCCAACCGGGGTGCCTTAATCGGTGCCGTGGTGGGAGGCGTAGCAGGTTTGATAATCTGTGCCACCCTACTCTTTTGTTGCTACCGCCGCAGAAGAAGACAAGGCAAACACGAGAAACGATCATCCATAATCTCATGGTATCCACACGGAGCATCCCGATCTCGCTACGACCGAAATAGGTCATCCGAAGCAAAGGCAATATCACCATCCGACAGCGATGGATACACAGCAAGTGGTAAGCTCACGAAACCCCAAACCAAACCACCCACCAGGAACCCAATCAACAAACACCCACTAACCCAAACAAACAAACAAACAGTCCCATCAAACTCATCCACGACAAACTCACCAACAACCTCGCCATCAACAGAACACGGAAGAACAAGCACAGCAACCCTCACAATGGGCAGCTGCGGTTCACATCCCGGTCCCGGTCCAGGATCCTCATCAACAAATCTAATCCCCGGCCCCCTAAGACTAAAAGCCTCCTCCTCAATCCCCCCAAATCCCCCAATCCCACCCTTCTCAAACGAACTAGCCGCATCAGTCCCAATCCCCCTCCCACAACGCCAAGGCTCTACCCCGGAACTACCAGATATAAGCTTCTACCGACTCCGCTGCGAACTAGCCGCGTATTCACAGAGCGAGCTTATAAACGTCCCGATTGACCAGCGCTGGCGTCAGAATCAGAATCAGGATCAGAATCAGAATAGTAGGGCTATGCCGAGGGCTTGGGAATCGGCGTCGTCCATCCCTCTTGCTTATACGCGTGGAGGGACGAGTCAGAGCCCCGGCCAGAGTGGGAGTAAGAATGGGAATGGGAGCCCGGTCAGGCAACACGCTGGTCGGGTCATTACCGCCGACGGGGTTGTCCTAGGTGCAAATCTAGATCGGTATTCCAGTGAGACGGAGGTTGGGAGGTCGTTGGATAGGGGGAGGATTGTTGGGAGGGATTGTGATGAACATGTTATGAGTTTTATGTATTATGAGAATGGTAGGAGGGCTGAGAGGGCTTAGAGAGGAGGAGGAGGGCTGGGGGATGCATGTGGAATTGAGATGTGGGATACGGCGCATGGGCGAGGGAGGGTGAATAGTGCTCCGAGGGAGGGGCAGAGGACTCAGGCTGCGACGGCGATTCTGGAGGACGACCTGAGCACTTTGGATTGTGATGGTGATGGTGATGTTCCGCCTGCTTATGATGGGAAGGATAGTTCATCTGAGCTTGACATTAAGCCTCTTGCTGGGAGGATGGAGATGAGTGTTCGGACTTGAGGTTAGGGGTTTGGGGTGGATGGTAACGTGTGATTGTTGTTGGTTTTATGATGTTTTGGTTTCCTTTGTCGTTCATTGTGTTCAATATTCATGGAGATGCAGGTGACTCTGGTGGGTTATAGTGTTAATTTAGTCGAAGTAAATGACGAAGTTAGGACATAGTACGGTACTCTGGCTCCTAAAAATCAACAATTCAAGTCATATATTCATTTTTGTCTACCCGAAAGCGCAGCTTATTTTCCAGTCATATATCGTATCCAAAAGAATTTACAGGAGGTTCTTCAGCACGGCAGTCTGCTCCAGAACAGCGCGCTTGCTGGTGCCACCAATGGCATCCTTAAGCTCGACCGCACGCTCGTAGTCAAGGCAAGCCTGGACGTCAGCGTCGAAGCGAGAGTCGACCTCCTGGAGCTGCTGCAGAGAGAGGGTGTCCATGGGGACGGAGGTGTTCTCAGCGAGTGCAACAACACGTCCGGAGATGTGGTGGCCCTCACGGAAAGGAACACCCTTGCGGACGAGGTAGTCGGCGATCTCGGTGGCCAGCATCTCGGGGGCGAGAGCGGCGGTCATCTTCTCGGGGATGACGGTGAGAGTGGAGAGGACACCGGTACCGATCTGGATGCTGTCGCTGACAGTCTTGACGTGGTCGAGCATGGGCTCGACACTCTCCTGCAGGTCCTTGTTGTAGGTAGTAGGCAGACCCTTGATAGTGCACATCAGGCCGGCCATTTGGCCGAAGGCACGGCCAGCCTTACCGCGGAGCAGCTCCAGGCTGTCTATGAGGGGTGTTAGTATACTTGTTTATCAAGAAAACCTTAAGTGCATGCTTACCGGCGTTCTTCTTCTGGGGCATCAGGGATGATCCAGTGGAGTAGGCATCCGACAGGCGGACAAAGCCGAACTCGAGACTGCTGTAGATGATCAAGTCCTCGGCCCAGCGAGAGATCTTGAGCATGAACGAGCTGCCCCACTGCATCATCTCCATGGCAAAGTCACGGTCGGCAACAGCGTTCATGGAGTTGTACAGCAAGCCATCGAAGCCAAGCTCCTTGGCCATAGCCTCACGGTCAATGTTGAAGGGGTTACCAGCAAGGGCACCGGTACCGAGGGGGCTGCGGTTAACACGGCGGATAACCTCACGCAGACGCTGCAGCTCGCTAGCGAAAGCAGTAGCGTGGGACAGCAGCCAGTGGGACCAGCGGACGGGCTGGGCCTTCTGCAGGTGGGTGTAGCCGGGCATGATGTAGGCGATGTCCTGCTCAGCGCGGGCAATAGAGACCTTGATGAGATCGCACAGGTGGCTCTCGATAAGACGGAGCTCATCGCGCAGCCACAGGCGCATGTCCGTGGCAATCTGCTCATTGCGCGATCGGCCGGTGTGCAGCTTGCCGCCAATCTCCTTGCCGATGATCTCGCCCAGACGGCGCTCGTTGGCGGTGTGGATGTCCTCGTCGTTCTCCTTGGCGATGAAGGTGTTTGATTGCCATTCCTCGGCGATCTGCTTGAAGCCGCGCTCGATCTCGGCGAACTCTTGCGGGGTGAGGATGCCGGACTTGGTGTTAGCGCGGGCGAAGGCAATGGAGCCAGCGATGTCCTGCTTCCAGAAGACACGGTCGTAGGGCAGGGACATGTTGTACTGCACCATCAGGGGGTCAAGGCCCTCTGTTTTTTTGGCGTATGAGTCAGTGGGATTTTTGGTGGGATGAAAGGGTTGGAGTACTCACGGGTGAAGCGGCCTCCCCAGAGCATGTTCTCGGCGACACCTTTTTGGTTACTCATTTTGAATGGTATGAGAAGAGTCAATGGCTTGAAAATGGAGGGAAAGGAGGAGAAGAAGAGGTGAAGTTCGACTGCGTGGTTATCACGGTGGCCGATCATCGGTACGCTAAACCCAATCGGGCATATCTGGGGTGTTTACGGCTGTTCACAGTCAACACTTCTTACAAGTAAGCAATGAACTGGATTTGGTTCTCTCAATAAATGTAGACATAGGGATTGAGATTTTAGCATGTATTAATGTTGGCTGTAAGGCTATCTGAGAGTGAAACTACATCGTTCGCCCCAAAATATATTTTGGGAACATGCAGACTACAGGGCCGTTTTTTTATCTCATACAAGGTGGTTTATGCATACAAATCGTGATTAACCGAGAAATGTCGCGCTATAATGGAATGAGAAGTACGGAAAGCCTTGCTCTATAATATACTAAGTACACTGGTAGCTGATTCCAGGTTTGATAGGCGACTACAGGTCTAACCTGCTTAATCAAGATATGATACCCTATGAAAGCCTACAGGAGAGTGGGATCTGAAGAGAGAGGCTGAATTGTTTATTCGAGACGTACCACCGTACTACCGTCCTTACCAAACAAGTTCCATATCGCAATAGCACTACAAGAAAGGACTTTGGCTTTTATAGGACATTCCTTGTACATAACGACCAATTGGACTATCATAACACGCATATTCTATTTCTCGCTTCATGAATATTTCCAAAGCAAACAAGCCGTGGCTACGCTATTATTCTACAAGAATAATAAGGAGAAGCAAGTTCAGTCGCAGAGCTCGACAACAGTCCAGGTAACAGTTGTCAACACCTTACCCCCAATCTTCTCCATAACCCTCCGACTGGCCTTATTATACCCAGCCACCTCAGTATGCGTCCACTCTCCCACCTGATCTCGAGCCAAAGTATCCCCAGACTGAATAGTCCCAGCCCCAAAGATGCCATCAGCCGCCATACCATGACGCATGATTGCCTTGGACAAGAGGAGCGCAAGACCCCTGCCACGATGTTCAGGCTCAACATGCAACGTAGCCAACGCTCCATCAACCCCAAGGAACCCCCACGCAATAGGCATCTCATCACCACTCTCATTTCCATTATCCTTAGAATCAGAATCAGAATCACAATAAAGCGCCATACCAGGCATAGAAGAAAGCTGTCTCCTAGACCTGGGAATATGCGTCCGACTCTGCACAAGATCCAAATGTACATCGAGAACACCTACTCTCCCGAGACGATCCCGGAACCGATAACCAGGCGGCAGGGACAGATCAGAAAAAAGATCACGATCAGCCAGACTGCCAGACCCGGATCCGTCCGCGGGAGCGAACTCAGATCTCCGGAAAAAGTACTTGTGGTATGGTGGATCATCGAAACGATGGATCCGGATATTAGGTAGCGAATCGTCATCTGTGTATTTGCCAGATCGCTGCAGCAGGCTGAAGAGACCTGTATGAAGGCTTCCGATTAGGAAGGCCTGTGGGTCAGGAGCGGGGATCAGGGGCACGCCTTTATTGGCATGTGCATTGGCATCGGCATTGTCAGAGATTGCCGAAGCCACGCGAGTCTCTGCATTGTCTGGATCGACATCGACATCGGCTGGCGTAGCTGAAGCCGGATCCCGGCCCAGGGATGACAGGTACGGCGACAGCAAGTGGGTTTTGACATATGAAAGTAGAGCCAATAGTTGCGCGCGGGCCTGGTCGCGGACGGGCTGGCTAGCTGAGAGGGAGTAAACAATGGAATTGGATTCCGCACTCGCGGCTAGTGAGTTAATTTGGGCTGCACTACGGCTGACAGCGTCGATCGGGTCGATTGACGTGTGCTCCGCTTCGAGGCTGGAATAGATGTGCATCTGGGTCTCGCGGCCGAGAAAGAGATCCACCCGCGCAGCCAGCCACGGCTTTTCAGGGTCAGGGGTTGAGCTGGGCGGGAAAGTTGCTAGGACCTTAGCGGTCGGTGATGGGTAGGCATTGCCGTGTTGGATGCGTCGGAGTAGAGTTGTGGAATACGGCAATTGTGATACAAGTATCGGTATTATTGCTGCTGCATCGTGCTCGTAGAAGGTGCAGGACTCCATGCCGACTTGCGATCTTCCCGGGTTCCTGGTTCAGGGGCTGGGCGTGCAGAAGACTGATCTGATCAAATGCCGACACTATTGATGTTAAATGTTCACGGAATGGACAGAGGTTGACTGACAGGCTGACAGGTTGACAGGCCGGGTTAGTTCAAGTGACATGACTCAGAGTGCCCATGTGGATCACCCCATCCCAGGTGTCTACAGCAAGACATAGGGCAGGGGGCTGAGCTAAACCACACCAGGTTAAAAGGCTTCGGATCTTAGTTAAATCGCGAATTCACTAGTTCGAAGTATTTGTCACTCTTTAGTCGGTCTGTGCTTGGTGCCTGTGGCGGTGCGGCACTATTGATTTCCACGATCTACGGGCGATCTCTGTCAATCCTGCATTGGCGCTATGCTAATTGTTATGACGCAAATGATGGTATTATTCTACTAGTTTCCGGAATAATTTTCCTAGGCCAGTGGTTGAAAGAAACTATCTGCAGGGACTGACATACTCCACTGTGCATTGAGGACCTAGCCCCTTTCACCAGATATTTTTTTGGGATCCGAGAACAGACAAAAGAAAAAGGAAAAAAAGAAGAAGATTCGTCTCTCATCATGCGCCCTATCCTACCAGGGACTGCGCGCTCCAACCATCCAATCCTCCATAGCTAGCCATTCACTCCACCGCGCCTCGGCCACTCGAATCTCGTCCTCCGAAGGGTCACGCAGGGGCCTTAAGAAAGGGGTTTGTTCATCTGGGGAAATATCGTATGCGGCCTTGGTTGCTGCCCAACCACTGCTCTTGGCTGTGAATAGATAGTTGGCCCGCTCTTGCTTGTAGATCACCCCCACCCCAGCTTCCCAGTCATTTCCAAAGAAAGCATTCATGACAGTCGGGGAGTCTTGAGCAGTGACAATTAGTCTGCGGATATAAGGCCGGAGAGAAACAAACGGCATTGAAGTAGATTGAGCAGCCGGAGCCAGCTCAGCAGGTCGCTGGTTTGGAAGTCGGATATTGATAAAGGCGGCAACAGACAATACTGCCGGGGTATGCTGGCTATAGTCGACGAAATGCTGCACGCAGTTCTTATAGTGCGGGAACCAGCCAGAGGGGTCGACCCGGCCAAACTCGCCGTCTGTCAGGATCGACTGCAGCTCTGGGTTCGTCCCCTCATCGCGAGGACGCTCGCGCCTATCCGAGATGCGTTCAGTCTCTCGTCCGACGGATCCTGGACCAAGGGAAAAAAAGTCTCAGAATGCTGGTCACGGCGCAACCGGTGCGACAAGACCGGAGGGGAACTGGGGCATTGATCACTCACTTTGAGCGTGTTGCTCGCGCGAGCAAGGCTCGCGCATGTCCATATGAGAGTTTTCCCAGTACTCTCTTCCTGAACCCTGCATGCTCAGTGACATGTTTGACAGTTGACATATGTGGATTGATCTGTAAAAGGCAAGTTTGCAAGTTCTAAGAGAAGGTTGGAGATGTCTGGAGTTAGAATGATGTATCTGGGTGAGGCGAACGGGGGCCCTTATAGCCCCGCGTTGGCGGGCTAGACGGGGAAGACCGAGCCATCAAGGGTGTCAATAAAAAAAATCGATAACCTTTGAAGATCTCAAGGGACGGACTAGTTCGGTGGTGGAGAAATCAAGCTATCAAGCCACAGGGAAGCTTGAGCCACAGATCACTAGCCACGGTGAGCCCGAAGATGTGGCTCGTGCGCTTATCCCCTTTTAGCAAGGGATGTGTGGCTGTGACGACAATGTGATTGTCAACTAGCCCTAACTTGGTAACCCCCACCGTCAATCTCATTCGTTTAGTCTTCCAATAGTTCCCCCGCTAGTCTCGGTCAATCTCGTCCTAGATTAAGGGAGGATTTGAGATCTGATCTTTGTTCGCTTGATAAACTTTGGGGACTTCGCTTAAGGCTTGCGAATTACTCGCCTGTCTTGCCCTGTGCGATGCGCCTGACACTTTCAAGGCCCACTTCTCCCGCCTAACATAGGATGTTATTCGGTTTTACCGATTAGTGTTCAAAGCCCGGAAATGTTCGGTGGATCTGGAATCACATCATGGGGATCCGCAGCGAGTCTCCAGGGAACAGGCTTTTACATTGCATACTCGTGCGGTAATGTGTTGCAAGGAAACAAAAATACAAACAACGTGGGAAGCAGGATGCAAGGGAAAACTAAAAAGAGAAGCAATTCGTGGCATTTGCAGGGATCACCCCAGCTCAATAATTTAATTCTCGTATTATGACATTATCCTCATCGGGCACTCCGACAGATCGGTGAATCGGCCCTGACGCTCAGACAACAGACTTCCGCCAATGATCGTCCCTTGTTGCATGTTCATGGGGGCCCTGGAGTCCCGACTTCCTGGATGCGACAAAATCCTATCTATCAGGATGGGACACACTAGACGACCACTAGATGTACATCAGTCTGACGTTCGGACTCCCCCGCTTCCAAATTAACCTGCGGCTGAGGGTTTCCAAATCATGTTCCAAGTCATTTAAGTGCAGCCTCGCCTCTTGAGACCTGCAGCTCAACACTTCCAACACTTCAACACTCTGCAAAGTTTCTTGTCCCGTCATCTTGCATTCACACGGTCGCAACTCAAGTTCTGGAATAAACAGCCCTAATTCCAACTCACCACTTTTTCCTCACCATGAGTTACAAGACCAACTATGAGCTCTACGTGAGTAACTATCTATATAATTCCACAAAATATTTTTCTAATGTTATACTTTTCAGTCTCGAGGGAGCATCGATAGCAGACGCTCACCGCCGCCCGACGAGCTTCTCTCACCGTTGGCAACGCTTTACCCACATGTCACAGCCCTGCAGCCCAAATACGACCCCAGCAACTGCACCTTCACCGGTTATCACCACACGGGATATTGGGCTGCAGCCTATACGACACAGCCTCTCGAGGATCCTTTCATTCCCTCGCGTCGCGGCAGTGGTAAGCATCGATTTGGTTCATTATACTTCGGTCGCATCAGATTCTAACATTACTCTAGATGGTCTTCAATGTCGATTTGTCTCTAAACTTCGCCGTCTTCTTAGCCGGGACGATTTAAAGTCCAGGCGGGGATCCCGGGCCACTGCATAAACTGCATCTCTTTCTGTTTTGGATGTTCCTTTCGACACCACACACTCGACTGCAACTTATCCTTCTCTTTCACCTCTTGCCCTCTTATCCTTCTCTTTCACCTCTTGCCCTCTTATCTGAGACCGCTCTTTTCGAACCTTTCACTCTTCGCCATTCAGGTCCTATTATTCGGGATCCTGATCTTGCTTCTTTTCCTTTGTCTATCTTTTGACTTTGACTTTGACTTTACAAGCGCATCTTTATGTTGTTTTACTGGGAAGCGAGCTATCAGCGAGGTGTTTTGGAGCAACATGCCCGGATCGGGCTTTGATTTTGAACATGGCATTGGCATTTTGCAAATATTCTATATTTGGTTCTGATGTATATAAAGGAAGACTGCCTGTTACATACGGAAGCATGGAAGCATACATGGAGGATTAATACAAAGTCCACATTTACCAACAAAACTACCGCTTCACTTCATCATGCGTTAAAACTACCCATGTCAAACCGTACCTGAACCTAGTAGTAGTGGCGTTTTGGTTTCTGGTTAAGGATAGAATGGACGTGTGTACGGTATGGCGACCCAGCTAGATAGCCAACTTGTCAATTGAGTCATATCTCCCTGCTAGAGAAAGCCGGGGCCCTACCCGATCGGGCTAGTCGCAAATAAAACAAGGCAAGGCAATGACGCAACAATAACTTAATTGCTTTTCCAGACCCCAAATGCCTCGTGGATAATCCCGATCATACGGTTGCAGTGCCACACCTGTAGCGCCAGGGGTTAAGGGGGGCAGACTACGTACTAACATCTCAGAGTCACACAAAGGATGCATTAGGCGCAAATCCCCCAATCTAGTCCCCGTGACTCGCATTGGCCCCCAGCCCGTCGATCACCTCAACATGTGTACTGTAAACACCGACCAGTAGTGATCGACGAATAACCACGCTATCGGCGACCCCCGCAACTCCTCCGATAACCACCTTATCTTGTGACCATGGGCACGAATGGCGAACCGGTTAGGCTGCATGAACTAGATGCAGGTCCCTGGGATAATTCCAATAACCATGCAGTAACTAGTTGGCGAACATCTTGTTGTTTTTCTTGCAGGACTATGTGATACAAAGTTTTGGATATGCGTCCTATTGGAATTGGAGCTTAGTTTTGGGGATAGTTTTTGAGGTTTGGGCAACTCGAGGCTGGGCGGGTTCCCAAGGGCCGACCCGTGAAGATCATTAGAGTGGGTTTGCGCATGGCCAAAGTATTTGAGATTCTACCGGCTTTTGGGTCGGTTTTTGTGTTGATCTTCGGGTTATGGATGTGAGGTTGTAACGTTGTACATGGATTTACTTTCTATAGTTGTTTGATTCTTTTTTATTCTTATTTTATATAGTACCATGGGAGCTAGGGTGTTGTTTTGAGGCAATGCCCAATAAGTCACTACTGTATAGTATTTGTCTTCATTAAGCGAAACGGGCAAGGAAGCTGCTAGGAGATCTGCCGGCAAAGATTATCCAAGGCAGCGAATAAGGAGAAGCACATTTTGGAAGTACGTGATTACGGTAGCAAGGAGTGCATTTATTAAGGTGATCTGTATTCCAATTTACAGTCTATTCCATGGAATTTGATGCAGGGGATTATTGAATATTATTGGCTGATCGAGCTTTTTATATGTAGGATATGACGACCTGTGAAATTGACAACGAAAATAATCGCTTCAAGGCCTTCGAAGGCAACACTCTCACCCGTAACGCCCAAGGCCACCGGTATTGACCATTTACTACCCTATATTACCACCTTTCTGCGTAGTGACCTTTACAGTGTAGGCGATATACTACGAAAAGAGACGAAGGGCTGGTTTCTTTAAGGATCCAACGAATTATTCTAATATGTGAAGGCTAGGCTATACTTTTATAAACCTAGTAACGAGATCGAATTAAGAATACACGTTTGGTCCGACGGAAAGAAGACTTGATATTTAGTGCATGAAATATAGTGTCTGGGAGGCCTTTTCCTCTCTCAATACACGCGAAAAGGCGGTGCTGTTAACTCCAGGTGATGTCAGAGAAGTCATCGATATCTCCAATTGGCCGGATACAGGAAATAGTGGTGACAGTTATGAGCCCGGCTCGCGCCTACTGGGACTATATTTGCTATTATTCTTGAAGCTATTCGGAAGCTGAAAGATCCTGGAAGCATCACGCCGACGTCCTACCCCTAAATACCTGTGAAGTAAGAACAGTTTTAGTGTTTGCAGGATAGGACCTGTTAACTAGGTAAGACGAAGATGCCTAAGCAACAAATGGTATGGGGAATACAGAGACTGATTCTTGAGAACTTCTGGGTTCTCTGTGAGACCGCGCAGTCTCCAGGTTTAGGTAGGTAAGCGAGGCAGATGGCCCAGTTATGTGTGCAATACAATAAGGTGGATTGTATGAAGAGACTGAACGCTGGTCCTTCCTGGGACCAGCGTGAATTGCCTATATACAGACTGGCCCATTCGTGGGCGTTGAGGTCCTGGATCATCCTTTCACCGTACGTCCTGAGGCATCTATCTAGGAGCAGCAACGGGGAGAAAGTGTGCTCGCCGGGGCATTTGGAGGAAGCGGGTGGAAGAGTGGGTTGTGTAGAGATATGAAGTATAATTGCTGAAGGGAACAGAACTTTATATAAAACAGTGCGGAACTTGTCTTCCTGCGTAATATTCAAACGCACCTGGGCATGTCTGACAAGGCTGATTCATCAACACAGCGTTCATCTTCACTTGGCTGCAACAGCCGCTTGAGCCTTTGAAATCAAAAAGTCCTTGCCCTTGACCATCTTCACCATTGCACTCCATGGAGTCCAACCAAATATCAACCCCGTACCCCCGGTCGAGCCCACCGGCACCACCATCATAATCTTGTCTCCCTGATCGTAGGCCTTGCGTTTCCCTCCCCGACCCTGAATATCCGCCTTCAGGTTACTTGCCAGAACAGCCGCCTGCTCCTGTGCCTTGAAGGACAATCTCATCGAGTTATTGGTGATATCCCCCGCCGCAAAGATCGGCAATGACGCCGACTTTGATCTACCCCGTCCCTTGACTCGGAGCTCTTTATCGACGACAACCCATCCGTTTTCATCCAGAAACTCCACGGGAATGAAGTCATTGTTCGGCAAAACACCAGTGGTAGGGATATACAAGTCCGCATCCAACTTGCTCCCGTCCTTATCCAGTGTGACTGTCCATTTGCCGGAATCCGGGTTCTGCACTGCACCAGTAACCTTTCGACTCGTCAAAACATTCACTCCTTGAGCAAGGAGAAACTTCTCCGCTGCCATGGAGCCACCTGGCTTCAACATGGGCAGGATACGATATGAGGCCGACACCAGCGTGATGTTGACTTTTCGTCCGGCCAGCTGAGCAGCCTCGGCGATTTCACCAGCAAGTTCGACACCGATAGGTCCTGCACCGCCGATGACAATATTCTGGGCGGTATTAATGCGGTCCTGGGCATTATGAATCAAGGTCTTCATGTTGTTGGAGCCGGATTGCTTGAAGGGAATTGGGGTGGCATTCTTCTCGATGGTAGACGCAGTGGTGCTGCCAGATGCGATGACCAGGTAATCAAAAGAAATGGTACGGGTATTGTTGTCAATGGAGACGGTCTTGGCGGACACATCAATGGCAGACGCGCGGCCTTGGATGAATTTGAAGGATTTCTTGGGATAGCGACTGAATTCCTTTTCGATGGGGAGGAGGTATTGTTCGGATTTGAAGGCGTCTCGTTTGGCGAGAATTCGGGGGGCAGCGATGGTGAAGTAGAAAGTTGGAGACGGATTGATGAGGGTGATTTTGATGGAGGGAATGTCTTTGAGAAGGGAATGGGCAATTGGAATGCCAGCGAAAGAGGCGCCAATAATGACAACTTCGGACATTATAGTAGAAAGAAGGAAGAAGGGAAGGAAATATCAGAAGAGAAAATAGAATTAAAGATAGTCGTCTTAGGGTAAAATGGAGTGTAGGATGAATGCGGGTTATTCGAAATTCAGAGGAATAAGGATGAATAACGATTGAGTCAAACTATGGACATATTTTGGGAGATATGAGGCGTTGTCAATATTTATAACATATTTCATACATCATGTTAAAGATGGAATTTCTCCTTTTCGGGAGAAACATAGATTTGTCAGGTTTACCTAAACAATTTTCTTAAGCTTTGTCAACTAGCCACCAAGTATCACGATGCTGGTTAATTAAGGTTCAGAGAGGAAGAAACTTTTGTGGGCCTTGAATTTAGTGAAAAGTTTCAAAATTCAGCATTACTCAGGATTAATAATCTTTGTTACAGTATAAATTGTATCGTCTGCGTAAGTTATGGCTAAGTGACAGTTGGGAAGCGAATGGTCATGGTTGATGCTCTAGAATAACATGAAAAATTAAATGGAATGAGCTGAAGTTTGTCCTGTTGCAGATTATGAGAATGGGGTTGAACGTGGACGCCATATGTGAACGTGATTGAATTGAAAGAAATGTACAGAGTGCTGAAACTATTGGTATGTACATAAAAGAGGCCAAAACGGCGATATCTCGTAATGGATTTGCAATAGAAACTGTCCCCCTGAAGAGGCCGGGGCTGGTACCGATGGTAATAGATGGTTGCGTGAGCAATTAACGCGCAGACTCCAATCTCCAATCCAGACTCCCATACCCCTAATCAACTCGATATTGGTTTTGTGATGCTACTCCGCCAACCAATTGCTCTCTCAAAACCATTCTCTCCATTACGGAAATCAGAAATGGCTTGGTATATTTCCTCCTCGCTCGTACAAACAAAAGGTCCATGATGCACAATGCGCTGCTTCAGAGGCTCCCCGGACAGAAGCAGGAAGCGAGAAACCTCCCCATCTTCCGGGACCGAAGCTTCAATATGGGTTCCCGCCGAATCGAAGATGACATTGTGATAAAGTTTGACTTCATTGCTAGACACCTCAGAGTGAAAGGTTGTGGTACCCTCCAGGACATAGGCAAAAGTGTTCCAACAAATGGGCACAATTTGCTTGACTCGGCCTCCCGGTCGAATGGTGATATCCAGATACCAAATGGGCGTGTAGGTCAGGTCCTGTTTAGACTCTTCTCCATGCGACTGCCCTAAAATCACGGAGACTGTCACCCGGCCCTGATCGACTTCCACTTTGGGAACTTGAGACACATTCACGTATCGGTATCGCGGCTCAACGTATTTCAGGGCTTTTGGCAGGTCGATCCAGACCTGTATTCCCATGCCAGGGCTGCCGTCCGGACTCTCCCGGGGCATCTCCGCATGCATGATTCCCCGACCAGCGGTCATAAATTGTAAGTCACCGGCAGTTAGGGTGCCTCGATGTCCTGTAAAATCTTCATGATCGGAGCTTCCACTGAGACAGTAGGTGATCGTCTCCTGACCGCGGTGAGGATGTTCTGGGAATCCTGCTTCGGAGCCCACCGTGGCATGGTCGAAAAGTAAGAATGGGGTGAAATTGCGTAGTTTGGGGCTTCCAATGGATCGACGGACCGTCGCTCCGTCTCCTTCCATTACGTCCACTCCCTGGAATATATTTTGGATCTTGCGCGGAATATTCATATTGTGTTGCGGTGTCACTGTTAATTTAGGAATGAAATCGGCGGAGTAGGCATGTGCGAATATACGAATGTTTATATGAATATAAGGACCCCCAAACCTATAACTATGCTTTGGAATCAATTTTAGGTAATTAGTCATCGGGTAGTACTTAACTAACAGCCCTACCCAGGTGGAGGTAGTTAATTAGTAAAACAGGTGGTGTCCCAATCAGAACCCCGAAATTAAGGTTCATTTACCTAAGCGGAAGTCTCGGCCCCGGAGGCGTTGTTAAGCTCCGACAGGGTCCCTTGACTGTGTGTCAGCGGACTATTGGCAATTTGGCGCAATTTACAGAGTATTATTCAGCGATTAGCTCATGATGCAAATGAGGCAATCCTAGCCCCAGGGCCAAGCATATCAGGAAAACGTTGAAATATCAAGTTTAGAAAAATACAGTGAAAGATCATCCATCTCAGAATGAGAATTATCTTACCTCATTAAGTTACTCCGTACTGCGTACGGAGTACATTGTTTTAACAAATCCCCACCGCTGGTCAGGGTAAAATGCAGCTACCATGGTTTGCCGCGGACGGATTAATACACGGCGGGATTATATGGAGTACACTAAGAGCGGACCAACTCCTGCAGAAGGGCCGATTTCTTCGGTCGGAATCTAAGAATAGGCCGCTGTTATTGAGAACTAGTCAATCGTCGTGATTGAATAAAAGCTCTTATAGATACAAGGTTTGTTTCGACTATTGGGAACTTCAGACTGAATTCTTAGGTTACCATGGCTGATGAGCGCAAGAAAATCGAGGGTGCAGTGGCTCGACCAATCCGCCACCCTGACTTCAAACCACTGTAAGCCTCGCGTCCACCGTTCGATGCAGATACCCGTGCCTTCTATTACACGCGGAACCCAAATCCAGACTGGGGCTACGGTACCGGAGCCAACTATGCCCATGCATAAGCCTCTGCTAATGCTTCCTCTGCTAATGCATCCTCCGCGGTCCACGTCTCCCTTTCTCTGGCCATCACATGCTCGACAATTACAGGCTCCTGGTCAGCGCCGTTACCCTATGACCGTCGCCTTCGTATCCACCAGATCCTCGGATGGTAGCGGTGAGAATCTAGCGCCTTTCAGCTTTTTCAAGCTTGTCAACATCGAACCACCCCCTCTCCCCCGCCATCGCGATCACTAGCCCTATGGCCGCTGCCAAAGATACTCCAGAGAACTTGCGTAAGTCTCATGAATGAGCCATCAATCCATGTAGTGAGGGTTTCATCGAAGCTGTGAATGCGGCCAGTATTCACGCCCCATGTGGAGTCTCGGAATGGGATATCAGTGGCTTGACCCCAGTGTATGATTGCAAGTCCGTCAAAAGCGCGCGCGTGAAAGAATCTGTCTTTAGCATCGAAGCCAAACTGGAAAATGTTCGTGAATAAATGAAGTAGAGCCAGCCCTGCGCAGAAATTGGGATCTTTCGTGCTGGTAGAGGCCACGTACTTCTGGGCTCGGGGAAGATGCTCTGAACGAGGGGAAGAATATGGTTGATATTGCGGTATGTCTTATGATTCTACATCTTCTTTGCTATTGTTCTACCTTCTCTTCTTTCTGTTGATGTCACAAGTCCCCTGCTAAGTACGGACTTCGGATCTCAAGGCTAATGAGTTAAAAAAGCTGTTACGGCCCGTCAGTAGATTGGGGGATTCTCCTACGGGACAACCCAAGGATTTGAGTTGGAGCGTCTGGGCTTTGAGTTAACTTCGAGGTAACTAAAAAACAAACAAGTTTTTAATCCCGACGGAGTAGTAGAATGATGTTCCGATATATGCTCTTTTTCCAGTTGCATAAAACTGGGTGAAACCTAGAACATACCAATATTGATTAGCGTAATAAATATAATAAAAATCTGGCTCAAGTTAACGTTTTTAACTTATTCCTGGATAATTAGTGTCAATCTTACGCGATGATGACAAACTCGTCGATCATGTCCAGGTGACTAAAGTTAATGCGGAGAAGCTCCTTTAAAGACTTTCAACACTTCTGGACATAATCATGAATTAGCTGCTCTATATTCCGCCACAAAGGACGTCAGTACATATACATACCAATATTCCTAAGCATATGACGAAATGGAGTCAATGCCAAAGTTGGCACTTGCCACTTCCCTCAGACCTCGTGCCTGTGAGAATTGTCGTCGGTACGGTCTTCTACAATCATTGCCCTTGCTATGTGTGACTAACTCAAAATTAGGAGGAAAAAGCGATGTAAGTCCTTGCAGGATATCCCAATACTTGCAATGCCTATCATATGAATCCTTTCCCTTTAGGTGACGGTGGGAAGCCACAGTGTATCCTCTGCATGCACACCAACACAACCTGCACATATCCGCGCTCCTCCTTAAAGCCTGGTCCTAAACCGGGTAAGATCATTGCCAAACGTCAGAATGACATGTTGGACACTAGAGGTAACGCATCCTCCCTCGTGTATCCGCTGGATCTAACCTAACACCTACTAGGATGTAGGAATTCCATTGCCTATAGGACGAGTACTATCTCGAGAAGAGACCTACGCTCCAGTAGTTCTCCCTTGTCTGAGTCTTCTTCTAGTTCGCTGACGTTGCGAACGAACGATGCAGAGAATCGTCCATGTGATATGGGAGAGACGCCAGGAACGTGTTTGCTGGGTCGACCAACCGACGCCGAACCACCGTCCGATAAAGCTTCCATCTTGACCTCCCTCGTCCCTCCCCAGCACTTACTGTCTCATCTGGTGGAAATATTCTTCGACCTCGTGCACCCCCAAATGCGAGTCCTCCACCGACCCTCCTTTCTTTTGTGGATAGAAAGCGGCAATTTCATCTCGGAGCCTGACTCCATCCTCCTCATTCTTACCATCTCCGCGCTGGCTGCTAGATTCTCCGATCGACCCGAGGTAGACCTCTTCGACCGTATGCTTCTGAGTGGGTCCTCTTCGACCCAAAACAATCAAGTTGACTCACGCTTCAAGTGCAGCAAACGCTGCCAGCGAGGAAAGGGTTTCCTGACCCAAGCCAACCAACTTTTCCATCGCGAAGCCTTGCGAATGGAAAAGCTAGAGCTCGAGATAGGAACCCCTCAGAAACCAACAATTCGATTTATCCAAGCGACTACCTTGTTGAGCTTCGGCGAAATCACAGAGACACTCAGTAGCCGCGCGTATTCCCTCGTCTCGGCAGCCGTCCGATTGGCCTACGACTATGGCTTGGATGAGATCGATTGTGATCGCATGCAGCTGAGTTTCGAGCCAAGCGATCATCGGGCCGAATGTGTCAAGAAGGAAGAGCTTCGTCGCGTCTGGTGGGCTATTTCCGACATGGAGAATTTCATTTGTGTAGTCAAGTGCCGACCTCGCCTGATCGATTGGAGTCGATGCAAGACAAGGCTTCCTTGCGATGATGTGGACTGGTTTGAGGGTCATGAAGTGCCTTCGTCTTTCTTACCTGCGAGTGTCTACGACTTGCGCACCTCGCTAGACCTTCCAGCGCACATTTCGGTCATGGGGCAGCGAATCTTAGTTATGCATCTGTTCGCCAACTTAGCCTATCTTGCGGCTAGCAACGATCATGTAGATGGCTGGCATGATTCCATCTCGGCAATTGAAGAATGCCTCGCAGCCTGGAAACCAAATATGGCCCAAAGGGTCGAATCAGGACAGACTGTTGAACCAGTTGAGGGTTTCTCAAATGACGCTCTCATGGCCTACTTGGTCCTTCAAACGTGAGTTTCCACTATTTCTTTCTTTCCCAATTTCCGTAATACAACACTGACCAGAGATCTCTGTCTGTACGTACCAGTGCCGAAATTGTCATGTGCAATATCAGAATGTTCAAAAACGCGACCCCGGGCAATCTTTTCACTTACTATCAAGATCTCTCCAAGGAACGCTCAACTATGGGAATACCATTTGCTAACCATCCGAGGCACAAGACACCCGAATCTCGAGCATTCTCAAAAGCACTTTACGTATCGGATGTTATTTGCTCAACCATCCGTGATCAACCTACGGACTCTATGGGTCCATTCTTTTTCATCGCACCTCTTCTGTGGGCACCGGCATGTCTCCAGTTGTTGGTCAAATCTTCCACAGCCGCTTGGCCGGAGCTGATGGAAAGAGCGTCGCTTTCCTTGAGGATCCTCACTATGAGGATGGAGCAGTGTGCTGAGTTTTGGGGGTTGGGACTCTTCTATCTGGGTACGTGCAGCAAATTCACAAAGATAACAATTTCAAGCCAAACTGATTTATCATTATTTGCCACAGCTTCTTTCTCGCAATTCGAGAAAAAGTTGACCAGAGACCCGCAAGGCGAAGGCTCTCCTATCTCGAGGCATCAATACTTTCCTGACTTTCTTGATGCTTCGTTTCTACGTGAGCTCTCGTCGATCTATTATTTGGATGATGTCTTAACTGGCCTCCCCCGAGATGGAGGCGTTGAAATAGAACAGCATGAAGGATCAACTAATTTGCATGACCTTCTGATGCAGTCGAATGCTTTGCCGGTAAGCTCCGACGGGCTGCTAGGCTATATGGACAATTTCAACTGGATGGAGATTAACTGGGAAGAGATGAGCAGTTGGGTGGCAACAGAATCGGAACTTACTGGTCTGTAGTCTGTCTTGTCGGTCTGTGTGCCTCCATGTGGTAGTCATATACGTGGTATTTATGATTGCCAGATACTTCAACCAGATTATCCATATCCGGTCATAAACAAATAGGATTATCTACCTGCCTCGTGTGCCTCGAGATATATAGATCCTATGTACAGCGAAGTCATTTATCCTAACAGAAATCCGTTCGGTCCACTTCTCCTTAAACGCAATCTCACTCTTCAAAATATCTCCACTATCCGACTGTCCAACCGCCCACCTCGCCAAACACCTCGCCAAATACCACGGCATATCCGTCTCCACAAGGAATATGCTAAGCTTACACATTTCTTGAGGCCTTACTCTAGTCGGAACCTTGTGTATGGAAAAAATCTGTTACAATATTTTTTATAAAGAACGATTAGACTTGACAGGAATAATAGGAATAGTAATGGAGCTTGCGTGTGTTCCACCTGTGAGGACACGGTTGACGGCTCCACGATGGTAGGATTCATCATATGCGCGCTCAAGTCCAGGCATGGCTCCTGGGCCCTCAATAGGGGAAACCTCAAGACGTAGTCGCCGCCCGGCTGAAATCCGTCCGGTGACCGCCAGTAACTCAACTTCAATCTTGACTGGTTCATTTGGAATCAGGGGCTGGGCATCCTTCTCAAGATGCGTGTGCCATGGACGCTCGGGCGTGCTACGAGCAGGGTCAGTAGCCCTCCGTGAAGCCTTCAAAACTCCTGATGTTAACGGAACTGGTGCTCTCTCGCCCCGAGCTTCACCCTGGAATGTGGCTGGTTCGATAGTCCTGTACGGCACCTCCCGTTCACCGTCCAAGACCCGAATCGAAACGTAAACATCAGCATCTGAGGACGTGGATGCCACCCACAATGTGGCCTTGAAATGGCCTGCAAAATCCACGTCATTCTCGAATGGTGCTGATACAAACGCGGCCATCGGCGCATTGGTGTGATTTGTAGGCTCGGTGTCTGCGGAATACTCAATGAAGCACTCTGATTTGGGTTCCACGGTGTCGAGACGACCCACTAGATTTGAAGCCCTGGCATCGAGGAAGAAATCGCAATACTGCGTGCTGGGAACCGGCCAATCCGCCTCATCGCGCCATTCAAATTCTCTATCGCCTGTCCTCATCATTATGCGCACAGGCGGCTGCTGCTGGGCTGGCTTGATACCTTTCAGGTGCAGGTCAAAAAAAGTACGGAGATCTGCATCGCTCCCTTCGATCATGGATGGCATGTAGAACGCATCCCAAACGAGCAGGTGCTTAGAAGGCGAACGTAGCTCCCGAAAGGCTTCAAAACCGGCCCGGCCATGGATCAATTCGCTTTGGCTAACAGAGACCATGACAGGTATGTTGATTTTCGAAAAATTAGCGGACATTAGTCCTTCCCCATGATAGTATTCGTCATCCCATGGGTGGCTCCTGAAGCCTCCAAGGAAGTCCACAGCGCCAGACTTTGGGTTTCTTTGCTTACCCACCAGGACTTCCCACCAATACTCGCGGTATTTCTTGAGGTATATACCGCCCGGATAAGACAGGTCTCTGTATGCATCTGCATCACACGCAAGAGGCGCGATCGCTTTAAGGGATGGTGGTTGTAACCCAGCCACATTCAACTGGTTTGTTGCATGGAACGATGCTCCAAATGTGGCAACGTTTCCATCACTCCAAGGTTGCTTCGCAGCCCACTCTATTGCGTCGTAATAGTCGAGAGCTTCCTGCTTAGAGAATGGATTCACATCGCCCGGCGTATTCCCGATACCGCGATTGTCCACACGTATCATGACATAGCCTCGTGGTACCCAGGCAGTAGCATTCGGCCGGAACGCAGTTTCTGACCATTTGAAGAAGGGTGGTATATCTTCCCTCTTGTTCTCGTGCCAGGCATCTTCGCGTTCCTCGCTTGCTTGGAAATCATCATCGGTGCGAACCACACCAATACGGAACGCGCGGCCGTAGACGCTCATGTTCATGAGCACTGGTGAGCGTCCATTGCCGATGGGAAGAAAAACGTCTGCGCCAAGCCAACTGCCGTCGCGGGTGGGAATCTGCACATCCCGCAGCAACTTGATACCTCTAACCGAGCGACGAAGGTGGTTGCGCACTTCGGCAGCTCCCCGGAACCGAAGGTTGAGTTCATCGAAGATCGCATGAAGAGACGTCGCCTTCTCAAAGGAGTCAATTTCGGAATCGAACGATAAGCCGTCTATGTGTTTGCTGATGGTCTCGCCAATCTCCTCGCTGATGGTCACACCGTTGCGGAAGTCCGATTCCAGCGAGAGGCTGAGGACGAAACGAGCGCGGTTAACTGTAGATGGCCGAGAGAGGTCTGTGGCCAATCCATCGTCAAGGCTTGCAAGTGTCAAAGAAGTGGCACCCGTTGTGGAACCGAGTCGGAGGTTTTTGATGAAGAAAGTAATCACCTCGCCTTCGAGGTATGAGAATCTTCCATGCAGGTCTGTGACTCCTGCTTGCGAAGGCGTTTTATATCCGAGACCAACGAATGGTCCGTCGCGGAACTCGCCAGTCAGTATGGGCAGAGTCATGGTGTTGCTAATATGTTTGAAGTATGAGGTATGCGTTACTTATTTGTAGGGTATCAACAGGATATATATACCACGACTTCGTGAACACGTAATCGGACGCCGGATACAAATGCCTCTTCCAATCCCGACAGATCATGTCCGCACAGCGCTGTGGATACAGCATAGCTCGTTTGATAGACGTTGCGGGGACTCGACGAATGGCTTAGAAACATAACAATATTTGTCATCTACCCTTACATCCTTCACTTCTGCGGCGAATATTTCCTAGCACAATATTCCTTTGCCAGTTAGAATAAGCTAAGCCAACAAGTGGAGAATGTACAAATATTCGGTTGGCGCGGGCGGGGCGGGGGCGGGCGGGGCGGGGGGATAGTACGTTCCTCCGCCGACGCCGCCATGCAGTAGGGCCGATTCCTTACAACATTGGGATCCCGCTGTGTGGTGCATATATAAAATACCATTGTATGAATAGTGGGAAATATATTTCCTTCAATTACGCATGAACCACAGATACCAAGCAGTAGTTCTAGATTTCACAATGTCTTCTCAGCAATACATCCCAGGCACCAACTTCCTGGTTAAGGAGCTTTATGATTACCTTGAGGGTTTCGGCAACTATCACAAGTTCATCCACCCCCTTTGTCTCATGCACTCTCCTTCACCAATGCTAATCGTCTGTACAGGTCTGAAGCGGCCGTTGGCGCCATACCAAAAGTAAACAACAGCCCACTACACCCACCTTTGGATCTTCGAACCGAGAAACTCTCTGGTAGCGCTTTTGCAGGCCCACGTTCTCTTGCCGTGCACACGTGGGTGTACCGAGTGCAGCCTAGTGTTGTACATGGACGCCATACTCCATATTTACATGAATTAGAGAGCGGCAACCCGACAAAGGCAAAGCACTTGACTCCCGACTCCAAAATATGGAATGCATTCCCGCTTCAGGAGTCATCCGATTGGTTCAGTCAACGTTTGATTGGGACCACTGGCAACCCGGCAGAGAAGAACGGCCTATCAACCTGGGTTTACAATATCGGCCAGGATATGAAGCCCAGCACAGCTTTCGCGAGCTTAGATGGCGAGGCTCTGATTGTTCCCCAAACTGGAGCGTTGGACATCACCACGGAACTCGGAAAGCTGCTGGTGAGAGCCAACGAAATTGTAGTTATTCCTCGTGGCTTGAGATACCATGTGAAGCTAGTGGATGGTGCTCCATCTCGAGGATACATTTGTGAGCTATACCAAGGTCACTTTCGCCTTCCAGAGCTTGGGCTTATGGGAACTTCTGGGGCTGCGCATGTACGGGATTTCCAGGTTCCGGTAGCACACTTTGACGGCAAAATCATTGAGAAGGACGGCACTCAGGTGGCGACGTCATCGAAGACCAACTGGACTATTGTCTCACGCCTCGATTACAAGCTTTATGCTTGCGAGCAAGACCACACACCTTTCGACGTCGTGGGCTGGCATGGCACCCTTTACCCATACAAGTACGACCTCGCGAAATTCGATTTCCTCGCAAACGTCCACTACGACCACAAGGATCCTAGTGCACACACGGTCCTCACAGCACCTTCATATGGCAAAGCGCCGAACACTGCAGTTGTCGACTTCATCATCTTCGGCAAGCGACACGAAGCAGCTATGGACACCCACCGCCTGCCCTGGTACCACCGCAATACCATGAACGAATTCAGCTATTCTATTTGGGCTGGACCACCATCGACAGACGGTACTGAAATCGTACCTTTTCCGGGTGCGTTTTCGGCCGGCGCAGTTACTGCGCATGGTCCTGGTGAAGAGGAATATCGGGCTTTGCAGGAAGTGGATGGAATGAAGCCTGAGTTGGCTATGGATGTTCCACTAACGATTGCCATGTTCGAAACGGAGTGCCCGCTCTATCTCACGGAGTGGGCGATGGAAACGGCCACTGAAAATTTGCCGCCGAATATGAAGAAGATAGCCGATTAAGGAATGTCCTTTTCTTGGGTAGCTAGTCGCGAGTTCCGAAGAACGAGTGAGGAAAGACTGCTCTCTTTCGTGATATACTCTAGCTCGCCTGCTTTGTCTTCGTATATATATGCATCATCTTTTTACTCCTAACATCTTTCTCGCACATTATGATTGCCAATTCAACTTTGTTATAAATTCCCCTCACGATCAATAATGTATGCAACCTGTTTGTAACCGTTGAAGCTATTTGTCAAGGGGCAATCAGAGTTGGGTACCACTATAGAGCATAATATGGAATACTGCACATGATTCAAGGAAGCTTGCCCCTTGATGCAAAGGGTCAACCTCAGATTTGAATACACAATCACATACAAAAGCTGAAAATGATCGCAAATGGTTCTGTAGAAAAATAGCCCTTTTGCCCCAACTTATCCATTTTCACCTTAAGAACATTGTTTCCCATTCCACAGCTTTCGCACTTGCCGCGGCGATGTTAATAATTCAGCTAAGTTTCTGAGACCTACATAATTCAGATTGGATCACTATAGCCTCGCTGGCAGTCTTGTCGTCTTCAAATACCTAAGAAGTCAGATGTTGGATCCGAGAGAAACGTGTGTTTCTAGGGAGGCGGATGACACAAAGCTGCAATCTAAGTGGTGGTGGCAGATATCACAATTCCATACGATAAAAAACAGTTTCGCCATTGATTCCCCAGTGAGTTCGGTTTCCGTTTGTGGTGCCGTACTTCATCGAATCGGGCCGACCAGAGCTCCGTTTCTTTCTATTGCGCCGCCCTTTGCCGCCACTCCGCCTCAATTACCAAGAATTGGTCAGCCATCATGCATTCCAACCTTGGAAGGTTGCTCCAGCTGCTTACTCGGGTATGATTGGATCGATGTAGAAGCGGAAATTCGGTAGACCAGGATTTCAATAAATTGTGAAGGCCATATATCCCGTGTATATATTCCGTACGGAGTCACCAAAGCCATCTTTCTCCAATTTCGTTGTTCGTATCTTCATTCTTGACATTTAAATATCGAAGAAGCACGTAACTACCAGCAAGTGCCTTTTCTTTTTCACCATCACCTAGGAACACAATGGCCGCCAACCGTGAAACTCCTTACAAAAGCAGCAACCATGGAGATTTCAAGCAGATCGAATCTTCCCGACCAACATGGGAAGAAGCTGCAACTGCTCCCTTCCAAGTCATTCAAACTCCCGACACGGCATGGACTCTAGGGAGCGGAGCGAACAAGACTCACAATCCTAATGGCCACAAGCATATCTCAATCGACCCCTGGGCACCCGGTCGTCACCCCATGAACAACTACAAGCTGTGTATCAGTGCTGTTGTCCCCCGCCCCATCGCTTTTGTATCGACAAGATCTAAGGACGGCAAAGTTACAAACTTGGCACCTTTCAGCTTCTTTAATATGGTGCATGCAGACCCACCTCTCTTTGTGTTGGGTCTCACGACCCCACTCGACACGCCCAACGACACCCTACACAACCTGGAAGAGACGGGAGAATGTGTCATTAGCATAGTCACTGAAGGCATTGTCGAAGCAGCCAATGCGGCAGGCGTCAACAACCCGTACGGTGTTTCCGAGTGGGACGCTAGCGGGCTGAAACCTATCTATGACTGCAAGACGGTTTCCTGCGCGCGACCAGAAGAGGCCGTGTTTAGCATGGAGGGCAAGGTCGAAAGCATTCGTGAATTTAACAGTAAAGTATTCCCGGGAAAAAAGTCAGGTTCGCTGGTAGTGGTGGAAGCCACACACTTCTGGGCGCGCGAGGATGCCATCAATGAGGACAGGAATTTGATCGATATCGAGGTATTTGCCCTTTTTCCTGTTTTCAATTTGATGTGAGGCAGTACTGATCGGGAAAAATAGGCTTTGAGACCAATCAGCAGGTTAGGAGGTATTAGCTACGGTCGTACGACTCAGGCTTTTGAGATTCCGAGACTAGACTTCGAAAAGGACTTAGGTGGTGCTGAGGGTGCTAAGAAGCTGAATAAGCAGCAAGAAGCGAAGTTGGCCAATGGTCTAGTATAGAGCACAACAATGTATATATACTGTATCACTGCACAATAGCTGTTGTCAGCGGGGTAGCAATCTATCCCATCGTGGTCTTATTTTGGCAGACATTTGGACCGCAGCTTGTGAAATAAAAGATAGAAAAGAGCTTAGGATAAACCCGGCCTTCGGTGGTTCTATTTCTCGAGTTATAAGAAGAAGAGTGCCGCTTCGAGACGTATATGCAGCAACACTTTGTTCGCATAATCTACTGATCAACGGTACTCAACCTCTGTATCAGTCAAGGCAAGGGCAATAAAGAGTCCTAGCTAAGGATGTGGTGGGTATTACACATTGCGGCGCAACTGCCGCCCCTCTGCAATCCATTGTGGAATTAGTCCGCCCGCACCATATTGCCCCGCTGTAATCAGCGGAACAGAATTTGCACAGTCTAGCAGCTAAAAGTGCCAATATCTCGAAAGGACTTATTATCTACAGTCACGCTAATGGTCCTAATCCCTGGGAGGTCGTGCACTCTTCGTTGGGTAGATCAAACACCTTTGCGGCAGCAACTGACTTTATCCGGGCCCACTCTTTGAAGGTTGACATATCCACCAGTTCATCACATGTAGTCGGAAGAACATCGCTTCTGCGGTATTTGTAGGCACGAAATGATACATGCAAATTTTTATTGGGGTGATATTCGTTCTTTCGTTTCCGGAATTACTTCTGACACATCCTGGCACTACATTCGATGCTAGTAACAGATCAAGAAATATTTTGGGGTATTAAAAGCTATACAGTCAAAACGCCAATTGGTATGAGTTACCGGTTGATTATCCGGGAGCCAAAGATGATGCTCTATATTGATCATATGGTTTTGAGCTTATTCGGACTGACGTGTTCCAAAGGATTCGTCCCGGCTATCCAGAGTAAACTCGGATAAGCATCGGATAAATCTCGCGAAAGGCATCCTCGAGACTGGAATAATATACCCTGTATCCGGGACCTTGTCCCCGCATTTCCTCAGTAATGCTGCATCTGGCCCACTATTCATATTCCTTTCCTTGACTTCTGGGTGCGGGCTGTTGCCAGTTTGCAGAAAGAGTGGTCTTCTATCGAAAACCTGAAAAAGCCCCTCCCCCTCCCCCCGACAGCCGAAGACTACAATGGAGACTGAGAGTAGAAACAAACACAGCGTGGACCATGTTGAAGATGCGTCCCTCAAGGGATTTTCAGACGAAATTCAAGAGCCCATCGATCCCGCGGAGGAGAAACGACTCGTTCGCAAAATAGATTGGATCATACTTCCCTCTTTATCTGTGTGCTATATCTTCTTCTACGTCAGTGGCCCTCATTGCAGCCCTTCTGAGGAGATATTTGGATAATACGTGTAGTATACTGACTGCTTGACCAGATTGACAAGACCACTCTTTCCTATGCCGCAATTTTTGGAATTAACGAAGACTTGCATCTTGTCGGTAACCAGTACAGCTGGTTATCCTCAATTTTCTATTTTGGGTTTTTGGCCTGGCAATTGCCAACGAATCTCCTTATGCAACGGCTCCCCACTGCGAAATATATGAGCATGAATATTATTCTGTGGGGTGTCTTCCTTGCCCTTCAAGCCGTCTCGAAGAACTTTGCAACACTTGCCGTACTCCGGGGGCTCAGTGGTGCCGCAGAGGCCTGCGCTGATCCTTCTTTTATGATTGTCACCAGCATGTGGTATAAGCGAAGCGAGCAACCCCTTCGAATCGGTCTTTGGTATTCTTCTCTAGGCCTGGGCATTGCGGGTGGTGGTGTCCTCGGTTACGGAATCGGTCAAATAAAAGGCTCCCTCCCCAGCTGGCAGTACGAATTCATTATCATTGGGGCTCTATGCATTTTCTGGGGAATCGTCATGCTAGTTGTACTTCCTGATTCACCACTCACGACTCGTTATCTTACACCGTCACAACGGAAGATTATGGTTGACCGGCTTCGTGAGAACCAAACGGGCATTGAAAATCGGCATTTCAAAATGCACCAATTCGTAGAAGCACTGACCGATGTCAAAGTTCTCTTTTTCTTCCTTATTGCCCTGTTACAAGCTATCGTGAATGGAGGAATCACGAATTTTGGTACAATGATCGTGAAAGGGTTTGGCTTCTCAACGCGTAAGGCTTTATTTACGGAAGACAATTGGTTGACGTGTCACTGACTGCTGGCAGTGGGAACTACTCTGCTTCAGATCCCTTACGGGATCTTCATCTCTATTATCATCCTTTCCTGTGTCTGGCTTAATAGCAAGATGCCACCAAACAGCAGATGTCTTATGCTATTGATCTTCCTCACACCAAACATTGCTGCTGCATTTGGCCTTCGGTTCGTGCCAGAAAGCGTCAGGGTTGGTCGCCTTATATGCTACTATGTAAGTTCCCTTCTTCAGCCCTTTGATCGTGGAATACCAACCAACAGTCGGTGATAGCTGACTGGCTCCTACAACGCATCATTTGTAATGTTGCTATCCTTGACCACTGCCAATATCGCTGGACATACCAAAAAGGTGACTGCAAGCGGGATCCTCTTTATAGGTTATTGTGTGGGTAACATTGCCGGTCCTTTCTTCTATAAATCTAACCAAGCTCCCGTCTACTCGCTGGGTATATGGAGTATGGTCGTGTCTCACTTGCTCGAAGTCATCTGTGTGGCCTTGCTATGGTGGTATTTGCGATCCGAGAACAAAAGAAGAGATGAAAGCCAAGGCACTACCAATGAGCGCTGTGTGGGCACACTGGAAGACATGAGTGATAAAGAGAACCTAAATTTCCGTTATATTTTTTGATCCATTTCTGGGGACTAAAAGGGGAAGAAAACTGTCCAAGCTACATATTTGAACCTGAAATGCTGATAAGTTTGTGGAACTACCCAGTTGTCTTCGATATTTGACTCTCTCCTGGTTTTTATGTCTCCTGAAACTTATTCGTAGAAACCGAGAACATCAAATGCCGAAAGTCTACATAGCCAAGAAGGGGGCGCGCATATTTAAGGGTCGTCAATTACCGAGCATCACAGCCGCGCCAAACTCTAATAACCCCACACCCCCAAAACTTCCCCGGACTTAGACCAGCATCTCTCAACAATGTCAGATATTTCACCGGACACTGCCGACTCCGTTCAAAAGTATCAGTGCTCAGTGTGCTTCAAGCGGTACAAAAGACGTGAGCACCTCTTTCGCCACTTCAGCTCTCATACTTTACAGCGGCCTTACCAATGTACATCTTGTGACGGGGCCTTTCAACGGGCTGACGTGCTGAAGCGCCACTTAAGGACCTGTGACGGTGGAAATTCAAGAGCAAGTCACCGAAGACGCGCCTGCGATCGCTGTGTCCGACAGAAAAAGGCATGTAGCTCGCATCAACCATGTCTCAATTGTGCCAAGAGAGGTGCTGCATGTTGGTATCCGACCAACCTGGGTTCTGCAATGAAGTCAAACCTTCCTGGTCAAAGAAAGGCATCAAGTACCGGGAGCACCGGTAGTCAGTCGATAGACCACATGCCACCATCAAATATGATGATGCCGTGGGGCTTACCCACCGAAGACCTGCCAATCTTTGGGACGAGTCCAGTTGATACACTATTTGATCCAGGACATGCCCAGAAACCAAGCCCGAGCTGGCTGGACCTCTTGGATCTAAGTCCAGGAAGTCATGAGGTATCTGGAGCTTCGGCGTCGAACATTGGCAATCGGAACTCGCTGCGTTTTCTAGACAAATTCACCAGCAACACTGGCCTAGTCATGAGTTTTGACTGTGGCACACATGAGCAACGAGAACAAGTGGCTGCCAGCATAGAGCGGGAACTCCTGTCGCAAATCCCTCAAACAACCCAAGCAACTATATCCAGCTTCGATTTACTGCCAGACTTTGGCTCGATCATCCCATCTTCTTCAATACTAGAAGATACCAGTAATGACAGCCTCAAGGATGAATTACCACTGAACTGGTTGAACGATCCACTCTCTTTGAAGACACATGAGATTCTTCTGTTAATTGAAGAAGTGGTAATGGTAAAGCCTCGCAACAGCTCTGTCACGCTAGATTGGTCCCCAGCACTGAAAGATGCATGCTTACATTTCTTTTCACCCCCGAATCTGAGGAGGTTCTTGGGCTTTTACTGGGCAATATGGCATCCTAATGTGAACTTTGTGCACCGGCCTACTTTCGACCCACTAGCAGCGAAGCCGACGGTTTTGGCAGCAATGGCGCTGATAGGTAAGTCGTACTTCACTATGATAACTGCAGGAACTGATTCCTCTAAGGTGCCTGTGTTTCACCCGACATGCTGGACAACGAAGATGCGCGAACTTGGCTCAACTGCGTTGAAGAGATGGTCTTTATCGACGACGATTTCAATAGTGAACTGAGCTATTCACCTTCTGGGAGCATGGCAAACCAGAAGCGAAAGATACAGGCTTTGCAGGCCGCTTATATAGTGTGTCTTTATCAAAACTGGGAGGGCACGGATGCGAGCAAAAGTCGCATTCGACGCTATCGCTTTGCGACTCTTGTTTCTGTACGTGCTTTCATCTATTCCTTTTGAGAATGGTGCTAACTTACCAAAGACCGCACGCGATATCGGGATTGCAACTGCAAGACATCAAATCTACAGTGAGCAAGGACGGCCCGAGTTTGAATGGAGAGAATTTGCAGCTAGAGAGGAGCTTATACGGTGAGCTCGGACCTGGTACTAAGAGGATAAAGTTGGTTCTAACAGAATAAGAGTCTTTACTTGGATATTCTTACTCGATACGGCATTTGTGATTTTCAACAATCTGCCGCCACGTATGGTGATAAAAGAAATGAGAATGCACATGGCAATGCCGGAAACCTGCTTCCAAGCCACGACAGCAGACCAATGCCACCAGCAAATCCAGTTCTCATTGCCTACACAAAGCTTGTACTGGAAAGTCTCATTCCGTGGGGCGTTCGAATTTCTGTGCAAAGACGACCTCTCCCTCGAAATGCGCCACACAGTTTCTTCTCTCGGCCCGTTGGTTCTATTTGCATTGGCGTCCGGTGAGTTCCACAAGCCGACGATAATCATTCCCACTAATAGCTAGTATTTCAGCAATCCACTCTCAAATATTCCAATTCCGCAGCGCAGTGGGAAGCTTTCAGCTGCTCGCTCCGATAAACAACGCCCTTAGCAACTGGCGCGATATCTGGCAGTCGTTCTCATCGACATCCTGCCTAGGGATTCTCCCTTTTATTACCATAGAAAACAGCATTATTGAGCCTGAAAACCTGTGGAGAAGAATGGGGTTCTGCCGCTACGCCCCTGAATATTGGCTCTTGGCCAACCTGATGGCAGACCGACTGGCTGTACTCGGTACATCACAGCCGGAGAGTGAATTGGAGCTACTGGATGAGGGACCGCTTGATCCAATCTTGAATCATTATGATCAGACTAGCATGCGGCAAGTCAATGACCTTATTATGGGATTTCAGACCTTTCAGATTTGAACCACGCTCATGATGCGGCAAAGTTAATGTACAATCCAAATGTTCGAATAATATTCAGTTATCAAACAGTGTCATCTCCTGCAGTCCCTCAAGATCTTAAGGATACACACTACTATTGCTGAAACCACACAGAGCTGAAGTAAAGGCCAGTAGTCCAATGAGGATGGGTATTCACTAGTAGTAAGTTGTGTTAGAGATTGCTTGATCCCCAAAGAATTAGATACAAACTCACTCGTCCTCTTCATAAGAGCTCGGAAGAAATCCAGCCTCGCGCATTGATTCGAGTCTGAGAACCTCATCTTCTCTCCAGTTTATTCTCGAAGCGTCGGCATCGGTATCGTGAGTTTCGTCAAGTGCATTGTTGCGATTGGATCTAGAGTGGAGGGCGGCGACTTCCGCTGAAGGGTCGTTCTCTGATGGTGGCGATGACAACTCCGTCTGAGTTGTCGATTGGAGAGTAGCATCAGTCTCGGAGTCTTGCGTAGACCTCACTTTTATAGTCGCGGACATGGCATGTAGACTTAAAAGTAACACAAAAAGCACCGTGAACAACGACCGAAAATACATATCGCTAGAACGCAATCGGTCGCAACTTCTTGTTCTTAAAAGGTATCGGGAAATGTCTCAGCTCCGTGCTCGTGTAGTATTGCGAGCAGCTCCTTGAACCTTTATTAGATCGAACAAAGAAGAGCTCTAATCTTGGGGGTCATGAAATCATATAGGTTTCCTCTTCTAGAGTACTAACACATTTAAGATTTCCGAACTTAAGCCGGCTAGACTTGGTAGATCAGCACTGAGGATCCTTCTTGGCGCTTACTGGAAGATAACGTGTGATGGTGGCTGGGGGACTTGGCACGGAGTTAAGTACCGTTTGCCGGAGATGCTGACAGCGGAGATGCTTGGCACAGGGTCTCAGATATGGTACTCAATGGGATCCCTAGATAAACCCGGGATGATTGTTCAAATCACAGAAGATTTTCCAGAATTGCCTTTTTAATGTTGGTTTTTGTCAGAGAATCAAGCATAGAACAAGTATGTCTCTCTCAATTCGTTTGCCTGACCTAAGATACCAACTTCACTTTTCTTCCTTTAAGCCAAATCAATGGCGCCCCGGTATGTCCAGCTAGTTCGTATGCCAAACTCAATGCAAACGAGATTACCGACTAATCGGCAGTTTGCGACAGACCCGCAGATCGACGTCATCCGAAGGGTTTACCTTAACTTGACGTTTTCAAGACCCGAACTAAGATCTCGATCGTGGCTGAGGAAGGCAGCAGCATTTCATGATGAGGATTGATGCAGGTGGCTGACAGGCCAAGGTCTCCACAGCGGATTATGCTCATCATACCACAGAGTCAAGCTCACGGTAAATTCCGCATTAAGCTTACAAATGCACATTCTTATAGATCAAACTGCACATTTCGTTTTCGTTTAGATTAGATCCCAGGCAGCCAAATATCGGCCATCCATGGGTCTTATGTGGATCTTATTCTAGCCACGCGTCCAAAATTCACCTATTCGCTTGTCCATACTTGGCAAGTGTCTTTCGTTCTTAGTTCCTGGGTGGCTTAGACAGGCTCGCCTAAAGCCTTTTGGTCTATTGATACTCGTTAGCTATGAATCTTTGCTTACATCTTGGCTATGGCAGAGACTTCATATGAGATGAGACACCTGGCGGTGGGGCATAATCTTCATAGACAGAGTCTATATAACACTGCACATCATCATCACTTATCGGGCAATCAATCATACTTCGCTGAAGACAAAGTATAGCAACTGGGATGAAGAAGCCGACCTTGTCCTGTACTATTCTAGTATTGCTTGCATTTATTGTGCTGACATCGGCCCTTGGATGTAAGTATACGATGTGTTTCAGCAGTGTCAGCTAAACATAAGCCTGACTGTTTCATCCAGTTGATCCGGTGTCATTTCGTCTTATCGACCCAATCCTCTCTCCATTAAATGCTACAAAGAAGTTCGGTATCACCGCTGGGATTGAGACATACAACCAAACCATCGACTTCGTTCTAGAAAACAACAATGATCTCGTATCACAAGACGTGCAAATCCGATATCCCATTGTCCACGGACACGCTAATGATGCAGGCGTTCAGCCGAACGCTCAATTTCGGTTTACAAAAGGGTCAGTCTGGATGCAGGACACTCTTCGGGGGAGTCGGGAGAAGGTCGGATGGGCAAGGCTTGCCATAATCGAAGACGGAGAAAGCCTGCTCTTCGATGGAGCATTTACAATGATGGGCTCGCACTATGCCATTGAGCTCAACGCCCTCGATGATGGATCTACTGAGATGATAGCGCACGAACAGGAATCGGCATTCTCAACTGGCAACGGATCGTCACTCCCTTCGCTCTGTGCAACTGCACCCGAAACACACTTGGATAAGCGACAGGTGTGGAATGCTTGGGGTGACGATGACCTCACGTCAAATATTGGCAGCACTTCTGGCTGTCCAAACACGAGGAGAATTGCATACATTGGTATAATGACGGATTGCACTTACACTGCAAGCTTCAACTCCTCCGACTCTGCCCATCGATACATCCTGAATATGATAAACACTGCATCTGTGGTATTCGAGAACAGTTTTAATATCTCTCTTGCCGTACAGAATTTGACAATCAGTGACGCTGAATGCCCGAGCAGTGTCTCAGACACGACGGCATGGAACGTTCCATGCTCCCAGGGAGATCTCAACACGCGCCTTCAGACCTTCTCAACGTGGCGAAGCTCTGTGAACGACGAGAATGCATACTGGACCTTGTTTACTGGATGTTCAGTTTCTGCTGGGGAGATTGGGGTATCATGGATTGGAGCACTGTGCAACACGGGTTCTGGTTCTAGCAATGGCGGAGCCAGTGCCAATGTCGTTGCTCGAACACAAAATGAGTGGCAAGTCTTTGCGTAAGTTATCAAACCAGTTACTCACAAGGCGGTCATGTCTTTTAGCTGACAGAAAAAGTCACGAGTCGGCCCATACATTCGGAGCCGTCCACGACTGCACTTCAAGTACATGTGGAAGCGACTCGACACAATGCTGCCCGCTCTCATCAAGTACTTGTGATGCCGGCGGACAGTACCTCATGAACCCCGTATCTGGATCTGGTATGACGCGATTTTCGCCATGTACGATTGGAAATGTCTGTTCGCGGCTTGGCTCTGGGCGGGTTGACGGCCGATGTTTGGTGGATTCTCGGACCGGCAATACCACTGGTAGTAACGACCAGTGCGGAAATGGCGTTGTTGAAGCTGGAGAGGCATGCGACTGTGGAAACGGTGCCTGTGACGAACAAGAGACTCAGTGCTGCGACTCTGTGACATGCCAGTGGCGAGGAGGAGATGGTTGTGATCAGACAAATGATGGAAATACTGGAAATACTGGCAACACTGGAAACACTGGACAAGGAACCTGGGGAAATGGTCGTCCAAGTGGTGATGTCTCATCCTGGGTTCAGGATCATCTTTCGCTGGTTATTGGACTTGCTGCTGGTATTGGAGGAGCTTTGTTACTGCTCATATTTGGATGCTTGATTTGTTCCTGCAGGCGCGGCCGTAGAGAACAAGCGGTAAATGTCAAGCCCACTGCAATCCCACCACCACCTCAATATCAATAAAAAAATAAGTTTGTCCGTTTCGCATCAATGCTTGGTTGATCTTCCATCTTCCCCCACCCCCACTCCGCTACCCACCTTGCCCGCAAGTATCCCACATCGAACTCCGACTCCAAAGGCATAACAGACATCATCCAGGTGACATCGGATATTTTACAGGCTTGTGACGATGAGTGTATATATATATATATAAGAGGGAGACATGAAAGGAATAGCGGTCAGGACTCAAGAATTTGGATCCAACAAACCTAGCCTGAAACTAAACATCAATACACCCAAGATGCAGCCATTTACGGTGCTATTAGGAGCGGCTATTGCTGCAATTGTTCTCTTTCGTGTCTTGAGAATCGGACAGCGACCAAGAAACTATCCCCCGGGTCCACCAACATTGCCTCTCTTGGGAAATATACACCAGGTGATTGATGTAAATATTTAAGACGAGATACTGGCTAACAGATTTGCCCCCAGATGCCATCCCACAACGCACATATCCAGTTTGAAAAATGGGCACGGGAATACGGCCCAATCTATAGCCTCATTCTAGGCACCAAGTGTCTGATTGTGCTCTCGAGCGACGAGGCAGTCAAAGAACTTCTCGATAAAAGAAGCGGTCTATACTCACATCGACCGGAGATGTATATTGGTCAGACACTGTGCAGTGGTAACTTGAGACTCTTGATGATGGTATGTTCTTGAATAGCAGCACCGAGTATAAAATGTGCGGCTAACAAAAAGGTTCAAGGGTTACGGGCCAACATGGCGTGGGGTAAGATACGGAATTTCGACTTCCAAACATTCAACGCTGACGTGCTACTAGTTCCGCAAAATGGTCCACGGTTTGCTCAATGTAACCACCTCCAAGAAATACGTGCCGTATCAGATGCTGGAGAACCGACAGATGCTATATGAGCTTCTCACACAACCCGAAGGATTCCTCAAACACATTCGTCGATACTCCAATGCCCTCACAACCACGATGGTCTTTGGATGGCGCACACCTACATACGAGGATGAGAAGATCGTTCAACTTTTCAACGGCTTCTCTGAATTCGCAGAAATCAATCAAACTGGGACAGCTGCAATCATTGACTTCTTCCCATGGTTGCGATACCTACCCGATTTCCTACTCCCAACACAAAGGAAAGCGAAGGAGCTTCATAGGCACGAGAAAGCGTTGTACCTGGATCACTGGCTACGAGCTAAAGAACAGATTCGACAAAACACAATAAAACCATGCTTCTGTGCGGGAATGTACGAGGCACAGAAACAAGACGGATTCAGCGACGACCAAGCCGCTTACATCTCAGGAACCCTCCTTGAAGCCGGCTCAGACACCACATCAAGCACACTGTACGCCTTTGTACAAGCAATGCTCCTCTTCCCCGATGTCCAACAGAAAGCCCAAACAGAAATCGAAAGATTCGTCGGACCAAACCGCCTGCCTGTCATGGAAGATCTCTCTGAGCTACATTACGTACGAGCTTGTATGAAAGAAACAGTCCGATGGATGCCAACAACCATACTCGGAGCCGTTCCACATGCAGTTACCCAGGATGATGAATACAAGGGTTACTTTATCCCCAAGGGAGCCGGAGTCCTGAACAATGTCTGGGGTATCCACATGGATCCAAAGCGCCACCCCAACCCGCGAACATTCAATCCGGATCGGTATCATGAAGACCGCCAGAGTTTCAGCGACGCAGCAGCCAACCCGGATCCCTCAAAGCGGGATGTATTCACCTTCGGTGCAGGGCGGCGTATCTGTCCAGGTATCCATGTTGCCGAGCGTAGCCTGTTTCTTGGCATTTCGCGGATCTTATGGGCTTTCGATATTGCGCCTGAGGTGGATAGTAAGGGGAGTCCGATCTTACCTGATCCGGATCGGCTGACGCAGGGGTTTGTGTGTATGCCTGAGGAGTTCCCGGCGAAGATTACTGCAAGATCGAAAGAGAGGGCGGAGTTGGTTGTTCGTGAGTGGAGGGATGCGGAGAGGGAGTGTTTGGACCCCAAGACGGGACAGTGGGTGCAGTCGCCTGTTTCTGCGTAAGTCGATGTATCTACACGCTGTATATCGCTTGTTTCATTCGAGAATGACTTCACTCAAGTATTACTATTTCAAGTTAGCTAGGCAGTGGGCAAATGTCGGTCAGATGCGATACCGATCCTCTAATCAAGATTTTGATAGGTAAGTTATCCAAATATTGATCTTCTGTGACACATGATGCTCCACTTGCATGAGCGCGTGTCCAATTTAGAGACTGCATAGTGAGGTTGGTAAATCATAGTCATTGTCAGTGTGACATAAACTAAGGATAAGATGAGACGAGACAACGACGTGTGCATTGATGTTAATACTTAGGCATCTACTATGCGCTTTGGGTAGCCCTGCTGCCTAGGACGGACACCTCAGAAGATCAATGAGCGTAGGGCTGGGTGGGTCTACCTTGCTGTCAACAAATCACTTCTTCCTTTTCAATATTCGTGTTGCACAAGGATATGCAGATGCCTGTTAACATTCATGATCCTTGCAAGCTGCCAAATATTAAGCCCTGCTTTAACACATAACTTTCAAATGTGAGTGGGGTAGGTTAAGAAAGACTTGATTCAAGAACTCGAATAATAAATAAAGACCCAGGCGACTTTTCCACCAAGTCCATTTCTTTGCGCATCTTCAGCCCGAAAATATTGTTTCGTTAGTGACACCTCGAACCCCAATACGCAAACGAGAATGAGTGCCCAGCGCACACCCCTCCAATGTTAAACATTCAGAATGTCTCATCTGACACCCATGCTCCTATCATTCATTATGATGGCTTCAGCAGTCTCGAAATTCAAGATCGAGATGAATAGCACGGAACCAGGGGAAAAGGAACCCCCTTGCGTAAGAAAACGTACCTATCTCATTTACCTTGCAAGAAACTAACGAATATCATTATCAAGCAGATAAGTGGAGTGGACGCCATCACCTACCTACACAGACTCCTGAACCGATGGGGAACGAATCACCTGATCGACGAAGACCTAGCTCGTTCTCTATCAGCTATTCAGCAAAAATGCCCAGATTTTGACGTTGATACCTGGAAGACTTTATGCGAAGCGCAGTGTTATGCGAGTAGGCCACGAGGGGGCGGGTCAAATTGTCTCCTGGGCTTGGATGGTCGAGAGACACCTTGTCCAGGCCATAGCATTTCAGAAGTTCTGTGAGTGGAAGTGGGACCTAATGATTCCGGGATCTACAGATGGGGTGGGATATAGTGGGAGACGGGTCGGGTCGTTCATTGAAAGTTCATATCGCACAAGTTAGAATATGCATCACATACAGGGCAACATTTGGCATACACCAGATTACTCAGATAAGAACAGCAGAAGCGAGGACGCCTACTCCTTTGCAAACCTGAGGTTCCGGTAATTATCGACTATCCCACATACGTACCTCGCCTGGGCAGTAATTTGTCTTTTTCTCCTTCCTTCGCGTTCGATGCTTCTTATTTTTTGTTTGAGTGAGCTTGTTGTTTGTGGTTGCCGCTGATAGAAGTGACCCTGTACTGTACATTGACCCACCTTCCTAATACGGAAAAGGAAAGACGTCAATCGTGCCTATTTTTTGTAGTGATAACATATCGGTCGCATCGGTTTTTCATGAGGTGCTGCTCAGTGAGGCAATGATTTCTTCGCTGGCATATGATTTTGGAAAAGAAAAAGCAATGTTCTCGCGCCAAAATGCCAAGTACCTATAACTGGCCTTCATGGATCCAACCATAATTTAGTGCGTAGGATTCCAGGATCAAGCAATTAGTGAACCCGGTATCCGAAGAGGGAATTACCGTTGCCATAGGCTCCCTAGGTTTCGAAATAGAAAGCATATGAGCAATATATGGTAGCGAACAGCATGTTGTCTGTCCGGCCTCATTAGCAGACAGCAATTTACAACCCCGGGAAGTGCTGGGATATAAATTTGTCCGTTGTTCCCTTCGTCGTTTGCCTTTTCTTCTGAAAATATTCCTTTTTTCAGATTCCACCTGTTCGTTGCCAGCGACCGAGGAACTTCGAGACACACATGTGCCCAAAATAATGTTAAGCAGCAACATATAAGCGCGAGTTCTCAAGCTCAATGCGTCCAGTTAGATACCAAGTCTTCGCGTGAAACAAGCAGGGTATCTTGTGAGTCCCCTTGGAAGGTCAGTTTCTGCAGCATGTACCATTTTACTAACAGGTTGTTAAACCGACAAGAACCATGCTCACAGATACTTGTTCTTTGATTAGGATGAATCTGACCTGAAGAGAGCACAGTCTTCTCAAGTATTCTGAATCCGTGAACAAGAACGGGTTCCGCGGACTGAGTATATGGTTCTCTCCACGTGTAGGATATGCTAGAAACCGGTACTTTCTTCACACCGACGGAGAAACAAAAAGAATGCCCACATTCCTAGCGGGCATCTCACGGTTACCGTCGTTCCAACCCGCTGTGACGCTCCAGCAGGCGACAGGATTTTCCAAATTGCAACGGGATTTAATTGAACGGTGAGCAACCGGTAAAGAAGAACAATTGGAAAAGGAAAATGCCTCAGGTACAAAATGGCGCATACTAGACCCAAGTGGGGGCACATCACCTATGGCAGCTCGGCAGCTCTCGCGGGTCCGATCGGTGTTTTCATTCACGCGACTATGATTGGAGTATGGTGGAGCTTAATTTTCCTTAATTGTGCTTGTCTCTTTTACAGTGTAAGAAGCTGTGAGGCCGAGGGAAAGAAAAAGATGACTGAATATTGGAGAGTGGCGGTATAGTTTTGTGGTTGCCTACCAGAGTCCATGTAGGTTGCGAATAATATTGTGGTGAAACAGTCCAATTTTCGAGGCTCCTGCGTTTGATAGGAAATGGTACAGTGCGACGCCACCTAAGCGAGGTTTCAGCACAGCCACCCCCAGATGCAGATGTGACTGTGAATGACATGGTTGGCTTGTGTGTCTCGGCGTGCATTAGCATCAATCCACGATTTCACCAGCCCCATGGTGGAACGGGCGTTGCGCCTGCCGAGTAATTGATATATTGAAGAGGTATTCAATTCAAGGAGTCGGCTGTTCCACGTTTCAACATTCGGTAAACTGGAAACAAGTAGCCCGAAAAATAAGTTAGAGCACCGGTTAGCCGAAATGTATGAGGCATTTCTCGCCAAGATCTAGCACCGATCAGGTAGCCCGGGAGCATTGCCAGCTGGTCTCTTTAGTTTGCTATGACCTGGTATCTGGGAAATTGTTTCCTGGGGATTTTTCCGGTGTCAATCTCCGCTCTGGTTGTAGTTCAAGTGAAAATTCATCTACCGAGGTGGGAAAATCCCTCATACCTCAGAGAAAATCGGTTTCCCGGACTACTTTTCCACGAGACTAGTGCTGGCTATAGACCGTTTTCTTTAGCACCTTGACTCCATCCGACCCATAGTACTTTTTACTGTGGTAGTAGCTTGACAAACCCACGTCCGTGCCTATGCAGAAAGTACCTCATACCCTGCAGCCACATTCTACTCTGGCCCAAGCTTCCACGCAATGAACGGAACGGAATAGACGAAATGGTTCCGACCTTTGTCTGCATGAGCCAGTCCCACCCACTCGATCCTGTGGCTGTGAGTCGAATCATATTGCGAACCCAGTTTCTCGCGACACACAAAAATAAAGGAAATCCCGTGTCATCCTATGTCATAGTCCTCAATCTCACCTTAGACCAGCGGAAAGGGTATAAAGGCTGCTCCCGTCCACCATGTTGCACTCTCATCTTAACGAGGGATGCTTATCGACGGTCAAAAGTGGGCTTGTGAAGCTTGCATACGAGGCCATCGTGTGACCAGCTGCAAACATCATGGTGAGTACACATAACACAATACATACTTACTCTTTATTCCACCATCGCCAACATTCCATCTGACAAATCCCCCAGATCGACCATTGATCCGCATAAAACGCAAAGGCCGGCCCTTTGCAACCTGCACAATCTGCAATGCAACGCCCTGCACAGCTCCAACCGAGCACGCGCGCGCAAAACGCGATGCAGAGCTCAAATGTTCAAAAGTAACGCAAACACAAAACATCAGCCTCGGAAGCCATATCTTCGGCACATGAAAGAAGACAAAATATCGCAGATGATATGGTGCTGATGCTGTATGCTTCTTTTTTTCTAGAAAGCCCCGAACGGGAGACTCTATCCGCGGCATCATAACACGGCCGGTTTCCTTCCTATAGCGCCTCGTCCCGGGCCCGATCCGGGTGGGAGGGCTGCGTCGGTTTCCACGATGTCGACCACCGTCCCAGTCGTCGCCAAGTCGAAGTCCAAGTCGGCGTCGGGTTCTCGATCGGGGTCGGTCTCGGCTTCGGGTAGACCTTCTCGGGCTGGGTCGTCGGCTTCGTTGTCGGCTAAGGGTACTGTTTCTCATTACTATGATTCTGCTGGAGCGGGCGATTGGTCTGGTTCTGAGACATCTGGGTCTGGGTCAGTATCTGGGGCTGAGGTCTCGTTTCAGCAGCGCGGTTCTTTCCCGGAGGCGGGTTTGACTGTGTCGAGCGAGACTGTCTTGCCTGGGTTTGGATCTCGTGTTCCGCTTTCGAACTCCGCGCCTAGCTCCTTGGCTGATTATCCCGCTGTTTCGGAGGCGCTTTTTGATTCTGCGTACTCCCTCGTCCCTTCGTCGTCGGCGGTTTCAGATGCCCAGCTTGTGCAGGCGTTGTCGTCGGTTAGTCCGCTCGAAGGGGCAAACCCCTTTGAATTCCCGCTGGACCCTGCGCTGGCGTTGGGGGATATCGGGTTGGGTTCTTTGGATGATGTGAATATGAGCATGGATGTGGAATTGCCACCTGTTGAAGAGGGCTTTCATGTTGAGGATTGGTCGAGGTATATGTGGTCGCCAGAGACTGGGTTTGAACATCTAGATATGGGCATTACTCCTGTGCTTCGATAACACGAGTGGTTTGGTTTGCGAGCCACTTGAATGAAATTCGCATGATGATTGATGATATTGATCCATTGGGTTTACTCTGCAGGATGGTTGGGGTGCATCAAATGTGAAAGGGGGAGTAAAGATGGCAACCCTTGATCTCGGACTTCAGGCTACACTAATGTCAGATTCTATAACCCTATCGAATAATTGTAGATTGATGGAGATTCATGGAGCAAAACGACGTTTCCTATGCTATGTCCAAGACTCGCGAATGGATGCCAAGCACGAATGCCCCCAATGCTCCTTGCTGATGCATAAAAGGGAACGGCACTAATACCGCCGACTGTACAAAAAGATGAAGATATCAACATCAAACCGCTCTCGATCTGAACACACGAGAATCTACCGCGCTGCAAAATGTATGTTAGCGATCCATACAATCCATCCAACCGAGTCTACACCTCCTGGATGTAGTTCGCCGGGACACTCTTAGTGACACCACCCCGTTCAACATCAGCCCAGCCATCACCGCTGTCCTTGTTGATGAGAACAAATCGATCTCCTTCGGCCATGTTCCATTCCATATCGCTGCGGGCTTCATATTCGTACAATGCCTCGACATATTGCAATTTCTTGGCTCCTCTTCTCGGTGCAACGGCTGGACCGACGCGCTTTTGTGCTGCGCTGCCGGCCAGTGATGCGGATGAGTTGGAGTAGACGGAGCCTGGCCGGTCGGTCATGGCAGGGCTGGGGGATGGCACGGGGGAAGGTGTTGGGGCGGCCTCTACATATGCAGTCGGAACGAGACCTTCGTTTCCTCCGGCGCGAACACGCATCCATCCAGATCCGTCTGCGCAAATGTTAGCTTGTGTGGAATTATGCTGGGGAAACGGGACGAACCATCCGCTTGGACAATCACAACATCATCGCCGTCTTCTACAGTAACCTCATCCGAGCCGGTGGCCTGATAAGCGTAGAGCATCTTGCCGTGCGGTTCTTTAGATTTTGAACTCGACTCGGTTGGGGGAGGTGCAGCCATGTATGCTGTCGGTGGAGGCGCAAGGACGCGGTGCCTCTTAGCGGCAGCTGGCTTGGTCTCCGCGACAGGAGTGGGAGCCTCCTCTTCTGGGGTTTCTGGAGTAGGTTGAGAAGCCACGTTGGACGCTGATCGAGCCGTACTGGCCGCATATCCGGAGCTTAGAGAATTCATCGTGTTTTGCCTTGTAAGTGATGTGGGGCGAGAGGATGCAGTAGGTGAATTGACATCAATAGCAGGCATGGCACCGGCTTGTTCTTGCCGCGTAGTCTTGAGCTTCTTCTTGTCTTCCTTTGATTGCTCACCCGGACACTCGGCTGGCACCTTCATTTGACACTTGCTGTGGCAGGTGTATCCACAGTCGCGACAATCAAAGCCCTTGGCGGACAATCCCCAGATTCGCTCGCCGCAAAGATCACAGTTTGTCGGGATCTTGAATGTTTGGGAGCGGAAGTTATGGTTCTGGGCACCGAACGACAAATCTCCGGCCACTGCCATGATTGTTGCCGTCTCCACTTCAGCTGTCACCCATTTCCGATCGACCTCGTGCAACGCCTCTTGGATGTAAAAGATAGAGCGCACGACATCTAGTTCGTTTCGATTGTCTTTGCCACTTTGAATGGCTTCCCGGACCTTCTTGCTAGCTTCAACTTCCCGCTTCTTCTTATCTGCCTCGACTCGTAGTTCGCGGACCTGGCCTTTGCTTTTACCCAGAACGTTGCGCAGGAAGACCTTTGCTGCCTCGTCTGTGATGATCGAAGCATCATCATGCCATACCGGGCTTGGCTCGAAGCCGAGGTTTGCAGGTTCCTGCGATTGCGTCACGTTGTGCTGGAGGAACATCAAAGAGTCCAATCGGGGGTTATTGCGAGGGATTTCGACAAGGAGATTTGCCATGTGCTCAGTGCTGTTTGCGAGGCATGATTTCTCGAGTTGAGCTGCAAGTGTCCACATGGTGTTCATCTTTGCGACTCGGGTTTCGTTGAGGCTTTGTAAACCCTAACACACAGCGTTAGTACTGTCGCCAACTGGACAATGTAGGGGTAACTGGACTCAATCCTTACGTCGAGTATCTCCGGCACATATTCATGGTAGAACTTCTCCTTCAGCTTATTTGTCACGTTGATGCTAATAAGGTAGAGGTTCTGTCTGTGAGTTAGCAAGAGCATGTGGTATTTCGGGAAATCGGACTATACCTTATAGTTGTTCATCTCCAGTATTTGTTGCTGGTATGCCGTTTGCGCCTTACTTTTACCATGATCGAACGACGACTCCATCTTCTTTCTGCGAGATTCGACTTCCTGACATGCACCATCGTATTTCCCCTTGGCTTTCTTGAGATCCCCATAGGCTGCCTCTCGTTCCTTTTCTAACTTGCCGTGGTAATCGACATGACACTTGCGAATCTCTTCATATTGAGCTGCAGCGTGTTTCAGCGGATCCGCCACTTGCACCACCAGATCCGAGCCAAACTTGTCCCGCTCGGCGGCGTGGGATTCCACCGCATTCAATTGTGTTGTCCATGTTGTCAAGGAGGCGCTCTCAAGGGATCCGGGGGTCAGCGTAGGAGTATCGCCGACACTCAAGGGGCTGATCTTCTTCGACTTGCGATCATAGTACTTCTTGCACAGGGCGGTTAACTTGGCCGCATATTCCTTTTCAATAGCACTGCGCTCGCGATAGAATTGGTGGATTTCATCCACCCACGATATACCGTTTGAGACCTGTGCAACATACTTGCATTAGCTCCACTCGCGCACAAGACCATCGGGGTTGCGGGGAAGGAAGACATACCCAATTGTTGACCGGTTTGAAGGAATCCTTAAATGAGTTAGTTCAGCTCTTGCGACAATCATCCGGCATTCCTACCTTTAGCTCTGCCCCAAACTGGGGAGCGACATCGGCAGCCATGGCTGGGTTGAGGTCGGAAGGCAGACGCGCATGGAATGAGCGGAACAGAAGCTCGGGTGGCGAGAAAGGGTGTCAGCGCTGATCAACAGGGCAGGGCTGCAATGAAAGAATATCGCGACAATCAGACAATAAGAGACAATGAGACAATGGTGATGGCGATCTGAGGCCATTCAGGCAGATAACCAAGGCGGGGAGAAGCCCGGTGCCTGTGACAATACGAAACATCCACGTTGCGCCTTTTGACTATTGAACCGATGGCTCATTACAATACCATTTCACAGCCCAATTCAGCCTAGCGTGGGTCAGTGTTCTTCGGGCGTCATCTGTTTTTGCTCTCGGCTTCACCTTCTCTCGCGGCACTTCCTTGCCTCCTGTACATTTCTTCTCTTGTGAAGCTTCTCTGAGCTTTATCTCACCCCAAGCGCAGTGGTTCAATTACATTCCAGTTCTCAATCTACCCCGCCTCGCCAACTTGCCATCTCCAACATTGCCCCGCCAATCGTCGCTTTCTTTCAGAATGTCTTCTGAAGCTACCGAAGCCCCCCAGGGTGCTGGATCCTTGGCTGATCGTATCACCAAGCCCGACGAGTCGAAGCCTACCGGTACGAACGGAAACCACACCCACCCTCTGATCGCCCAGTCCCCCGCGGCGGTGACAGCGACGAGGCTGCGATTGATAGCTAATCATTTCATATTTTACAGATGCGCCCAGCACCGGAAATGAGGATGGCGCCCCCGCCAACCACAAGGGCTCAGAGCTTGCTGAGCCTGACTACACCGTCGAGGTCAAGCTGAGTGACCTGCAGGCAGATCCCAACAACCCCCTGTTCTCCGTCAAGAGCTTCGAAGATCTTGGCCTGTAAGATCCCCCAATGGAGCTGCAGCGATTGCGCATTTTAGAATTAACTCAATTCCTATTTCAGCGACGAGCGCATTCTCAAGGGTCTCGCCACCATGAACTTCCGCAAGCCTTCCAAGGTCCAAGAACGCGCCTTGCCTCTCCTTATGAGCAATCCTCCCAAGAACCTAGTCGGTCAATCGCAGTCTGGTACTGGTAAGACTGCTGCTTTCGTCCTCAATGTCCTCAGTCGCCTCGATCTCTCGACCCCGGAAATGGCGAGCTCGCCACAGGCTCTCATTCTCGCACCTACCCGTGAGCTTGCACGTCAGATTGTTGGTGTGATTCAAATTATGGGCCAGTTCCTTGACGGTCTTGTCATTGGTACTGCTGTTCCCGCCGATTCCAATGCCCGCACCGGTAAGATGGATTGCTCGGTTGTGGTCGGCACACCCGGCACCGTTCAGGATATGATCAAAAGACGCAACCTCAACCCGGCCCAATTGAAGGTGTTGGTTCTAGACGAGGCCGATAACATGCTTGACCAGCAAGGCTTGGGAGACCAGTGCATTCGTGCCAAGGCGTGAGTTCTCCGCATATTCCACTAGCAGTAGTGTTGACTAACCTTTCTTTCAGTATGCTCCCTCGCACTGTCCAAATTGTCCTGTTCTCTGCCACTTTCCCTGCTCATGTGTACCGTTACGCGGGCAAGTTTGCTCCCAATGCAAACGAAATCACCCTACAGCACGAGGAGTTGACCGTTGAGGGCATTAAGCAGCTCTACATGGATTGTGACAATGAAGAACAAAAGTACCAGAATCTTGTCCAGCTTTACGGATTACTTACCGTCGGGTCATCCATTATCTTTGTTCGGGTATGTATCCGTATTTCCAAGACATGCACATTTACTGATCCTGATTTAGACCCGTACCTCTGCCATTGAGATCGAGCGACGCATGGTTGCCGAGGGACACACTGTTGCATCTCTCACTGGTGGTGTTGAAGGCTCGCAGCGTGATGCCGTCATCGATTCCTTCCGTAACGGTGACGCCAAGGTTCTTATCACAACTAACGTTCTTGCCCGTGGAATTGACGTCTCCACAGTCTCTCTGGTGGTCAACTACGTGAGTTCTTCCCCCTGAAATCTCATCCGATCAATACTAAGACCTTTTTTTCAGGATGTTCCCGAGGAGTACACTCAAAACCGACCATCTGGCACACCGGACTACCAGACCTATCTCCACCGCATTGGCCGTACTGGTCGTTTCGGTCGCATTGGTGTGGCTATTTCATTTGTCGCCAACCGAGGCGAATGGGAGATGTTGCGCAAGATCCAAGAGCACTTTGGATGCAACATTGAGCGTATCGATACCAACGACTGGGATGAGGTGGAAGAGATCATCAAAAAGACCATTAAGAGCAGCCGCGCCCAGTCAAGCTTCAAGAACTGAGTGCGCCAAAGATCGGGGTCAATCGCATTCATCGGCCCCTCCACTAAATCTCAACTCTTGGCCCAAGGCCGCTAATCTCACGTTTCCATGTCTCGAAGAGTGATGTCTTCTCTTCTGTTTTGCCGGTCGGCAGGGGTTCTGGGAGGCACAATTGATACCAATTTGCGGGCACGCTGCCTCTGCAACCCATTTCATACACTGTTGTACCTGCTTCTCCTCCTATCAGTGGCACAGCGGACTACTGCAAGCTTAGCAAATATCAAAATTAAACTCGCTACTGGGAGGAAAACCTTATACTTCCCCTTTTTTTTTTCTCTATCCTCTCTGTCCAAACCTGATATCTAGACACGCTTTTTTTCCACACCTGTCGATTTTGTTCCCCATGTCTTTTGGAACACGCTGGCTCTCTATGCGGCCAAGGACGGCAGACCTCGTCACAGCACAGGTCAGATGATGTTGAAACACAGATTCCACCAAATTACCGCCAGGACCCTTACGTGAAAATTCGTGAGCTAATAAACTAAAAGTCCACTCAAGGCTTGGCTGTTCGTATTCACCCGCGCTCAGGCCAAGGACCGGCGACCGAAGCCATTGAATACGAGCCCTAACAAACAGTCACCGAACATAATCCTATGCCAAGTCTCTTCAGCCCAATCACATTCCCCTAATTATCTCGACAGTCGATTCCAGCATGCCCTAGCCTTGGCCCTGCAGTCTTTAGACCTTACTCCTTTCGCAGAGAGAAGGCTTTTTCCGTCAGATGTGGCTACATTGGGTATAGTCAGATGGTGGAGCCTCTTCAGCGTCTTCGAAAAGTTGTGTTTGGATGGATATATAGAGGGAGGAGCCTCCTTTATCCCGAGATCCGTCCTTTCCCTTTCTTGTTGGCTCTTGCTCGCGACACCCCAGGTCGGCAAAGACCAGCCCAACCAGAAACAATGAAGCACCTCAGCACATACACCCTCCTGGGACATGCCCTCCTTCAGTTCGCCCTCGCTTCACCATGGTTCGGCACCGAATACGTCGCAATAGTCAAATCAACCATCGCCGACGGCTACACCGGCGTATACATAACGAACGACCCAATAGTCCGAACCTACACAGAAGTAATAACACCAACCGAGAGTAGCCCGGCCATCCTGAGCACAATAACCTCAACGGAAACATACTACGGCGATGTCACCGCCATCCAACTAGTCGTGGAACCGACAGCCGGCGTCCAGAACACAGGCTACGACTATGTCAACCACTACGCAACAGTCACATATACAGCGCCCTCCTCCTGTTCCTACACTACAAGCCAGACCCTCATAACCGCCATCCCCATCAACGTTCCGCTTGATGCGGAGAATCTTGTTCATCCCAGCATGCAAACCAGTACGATCACCTACCAGTACAACACGTACCGCTATACGCGGACCATGGCTGTGTTGGGTATCGATGATATTCCCACGAGTGTGTTTTCTTCTGCTAGTTCTCTTTACAAGCCTGCTATGTATAAGACTTGTGATAGTTATTACAGTTCGGGAAGGAGCACGTACTACAGTGGCGGCGATGATGATTCAACTTCCTATGCTGGCTGCAGCAAATTCGTCTGGTATCTCGGGAGCTCTGAGTTTTCGGGTGGATACTGCTGTTCAGATGGATGCCATTATACATGGGGAATCCCACCGTGGGGTCTCGGCCTGGCCATTTTCTTCGGCTGGTTTGGTCTGTTCCTCATCATTGGGTTGATCGAGAGCTGGTTCATATTCCGCAGAGCTATGATCGGCAAGAAAGCCCGACGCGGTCTTCCCTACGGTTTCGCTCTCCTGTGTCCGATCTTGTCGTGCTTGTTCCTCATCACGGTCAAGAAGTATCCTGCGAAGACACCCGAGGAGCAGGCTGTTCTCGTTGCGAATTGGAAGGATATGTCCGGTGGACAGAAGTTGGGCATGTGGTTGAAGTATTTGTTCCGTCGTAAGGATCCGGCCGCTGTTGCTCTTGCTCGACCGGGCCCTGGCCCTGTTGTTGCTCCTTATCCTCCTCCTGGTTCTTGGTATCCGCCTCCCGGGTCTGAGGGTCCCGTTGTGCCCCCGATGGCGGCTTATCCTCCTCCGTCCGGGTATCCCCCTCAAGGGTATCCGCCTCAGGGACATCCTCCGCAGGGATCCCCAACTTCGCCGCCTGCGGAAGCGGATGCTACTTCGCAGCCTAAGACGGTGTCTGTGAGCGAGACTGAGCGCACTTGATGTGATCTTGTTGGAGCGCGATATATGTTAGAGCCCCTCACAATGTATCCTGTGGTGAACAATTCCGATTACGATCGAGCTATAGCTAGTCCATGTTAATAATTTCCGTCAAATTACGTGATTCCTTGAGCAGCATGACCTCTCGAATCGATATAATACAATGAACCCTCCTATTCTCACGAAAATACACACACAGTGCCAACCCACAAACCATCCTCAAAACAACCATTGATTAAACGCAACGCCAAAATCCATATTATTAAACAAATCCAACCCATCAACATCAATCACAGGCTCGAAATCCATATGAGCAGCATCCCCAAGGCTAGAATCCGATACCAGAGACTGCGGCTCAAGAATTTCATCTATAATTTTCGAGAATACCTGACTCGCCCGCTGAAATAGTGCATAATTCGCATTATCCGGTCGGACAATTGACTCAAGATGAGAGATAAACACGCTCAAATTACGAATCAGCGC